ACTGCTATTGTGACCAAAATTATCACGGTTTTCGGTATTATCGCGGTATTTTTTTAAACTTGTTAAATTTTCAGGAAACTAAAACCCTGTATATCAGGAAAATATTGTCCTCAGTTTGTGTCTAAATGTTGCCTACAATTTGTTATTTTGTAATTATGTTGTTTATTTGTTTACATTTTTCCCCTCTAGTCTTTAAAATACCAATCTTTGCCCATAACTTCTTATTTTTTGTCTGTTTGATGTCATCATTTTAAAAATATTAGATCAGATGATACTCAGTACTCAAGTAGCCTTCTAATCAGATACTTTTTTACCCTTACTAGAGTCAGGAAAATATTGTCCTCGGTTTTTGTCCTTCCAGTGAGCTTTGCAGATTTGGGGAAATGTCATCAGGCAGTAATCATTGTTAAATTCATAATTATTCTCGGAGAGAGACCAACTCTTATCTGCCCCTGGGATCCCCGTAATGCATAGCGTCATTTCAACATGGCGGTGTCCGCGACACGGTTTATATGCAGATAGCGGCGCTGCGGCTGCTTTATATAGCGACTCGTTGCATTCTCCCTCAACCCAAATCCTCGGATCACGCATTTTAGCTAAAACGCTAACGCTAACTTGCCTTGCGTTGACTGTAGGGTTGTGGGTGATGGTCACGCAGATGTGTCATGAGATTTGAAGCGTTGCTGCCTTTCACATACACTTTTCCTGCATGTGCTGCCAACAGGATAGTCGTCTTCTATCAGCTGTCCCTCGGCATTCTTCAAATATCCAAAAAATGCCCGTACTTCTGACTCTTGCCTTCTCTGAGGGATAATAAATGTCCCGCGCTGCCGTCTGCTCCTTTGGCCATTATTTCAGCTTTAGCTTCAAGAAAGTTTTGGTTGTAAACATCAAAGTGTGCATGTGCCGCAAGTAACTTCAGCAGATGATACAGTGGCTGGTAAGGGTCACCGCGCCTACACCGCAGCCACGGTAATCCACCAAGATAATATAGTTTTGTAAAAAACAAGACTGTTATTATTATTGTCAACTTTTTTACCGGGGTTTACCGCTATACCGGTTACCGTGACAACCCTAGTGTGTGTGTGTGTGTGTGTGTGTGTGTGTGTGTGTGTGTGTGTGTGTGTGTGTGTGTGTGTGTGTGTTAGGGTTGACACAGTAACCGGTGTAGGGGTAAAGCGCTAAACTATACAGTAAACTATACTGTAAACTATACAGAAAAACTGGCAAAAAGTAAAAAATGCATTAAAAATCTATGCTTTTGTACAAAATCTCAAAAAATTCCCAGATTACCTTTGTGATGTGAGACTGCTGGTTATATTTTTATAAGGATCACAAATGTCAAACTTTTCTTACAATAAAATAACATTTGCATTAGTGGCTGTCAATAAAAATAAGTCCTAATATTAAACACAAGGGGGGTGCTCAAATCAAGACTACATTTTATGCATTTTATAAACCATTTAAGAGTGAACCTTGTGCCAAATTTCAAGAAGATTGTCGTAACGGAATTTGCGCTGCAACTGCTAGACTACAAATTTATTTTCGTAAATATAAAGAGCAAACCTTTTCGTGGAGCTGCGATTTTCGTGATATGAACTCAACACTACGCAGTTACCACAACCTAAAAATCTTAGCCTCTTACATGCAAATAATGATTTAAGAAATTTCTCTATTTTGAAATTTTAAATTATTGTAAACCACGCTCACTTTGATCGATCATTACCATATTGATATTGTAGTCTTAAGACTCTATAATGATGACAACCACTAAGTTTCGCGCAGATCCATTTAGCCGGTTCAGCAGTAGGGCTGCACAATATATCGAAAAATTATCGTCATCGCGATAACAGGACGTGCGATAGGCCCATCGCAAAACACGGCAAAAACAGCGATAAATGTTTGGTTCAAACGTTTCCATCCGTGTCATACATCAACTTTTTGTAAACCAGCTCTGTTCTTTACGCAGAAGTATTATTTGACCAATCAAATGTAGTCCTTCTGATAGGTGGCCAATCAGATGGTTCCGTTCACGTAATACGCCCGCCCCCTACATAGCCCCTTTTGGAAAGCAACACCCGAACAGAGTTTGCGGCGCTGTTCCCTTGTTCGTCATGCTGGCTCAGAGCAACGAACGCACTTTGTGCTGATGTTTCTGGATTCAGCACTGCTTTCAAACGTGAACGTGACTCCGCTCGGTGTCGTTAATCATTTTTACCGGGCTGACTCCGACACGTGCCGGTGAACCAATCCACCGTCATGTCGTTAGTGTTAGCCCCAGGCTCCGGTAAGCTTCCAGCTAAAAGGCTACAGCACTCTCCTCCCAGTCCCACCCTGCTAAAGAGGGCCTGGAAAAGTTCCCCCACACATCAAAGTGATTTTTCATTTATGAGCTTTTATAACCTTGTTAACCAGGATAGTTGATTTGCTGCTGCACATAAACTGTCAGTCAGAAGCTCTGCTAGCCGGTTATCTTAAGAGGAGCTAGTTCAATTTTTTAGCTTGTTATCAGAATCATAGGTGCAGTTTCATCATCTGAGCTGCTTTTTAAGATCTAAGTAAACTTGTTCAATTTGGGGTTAAAAACAAACGTTTTCACATATTTTCCATGTAGTTTTTTTTGCCAGTTCCTCTTCTGAAAGGTAGACAATTGTTTTTCTCTTTCCCTCAGAAAATCTTAATATTCTCCTAGTTTGGCCCAGCACAGTTCACTTCCCAATTACAGCAACAGCCTTATATCATAACCACATAAGTGGAGAAAATGTCCAGTAGCAATGAGAGGATTTGCTGTTGCATTTAAGTGATGTTAACTATTATTTAACATTTAAACTTAGTTTCAGATTTTTATTTATTCAAAAACCCTGGTAAGGGATGTTTTTCTGTATGTGGAGCATCAGAAAAAGTTTTATGGTGGAGGTGATGCTTTAAAGTCACTGAGAAACTGCATGCATGCAGTTTGTTGTTTTGCTGCTAATACAGTAGCAGGTGCAGCTGCATGTTTTTGCAATAAAAATGTTATGTTGTAATGGAATTCATGGATTCGTTTTTGTTTGCTTTGAACCCAGAGCAGACGTCACACGCCAGACGACATCAACACTGCATACTTTAGTATTTGTTCCTTTGTCGTGAGTAATTTCGATATCGCAATATTAATCACTGTTATTGAATATCGCAGGTTTTCCTAATGTCGTGCAGCCCTATTCAGCAGTATAATTTCTTCCTATTTATAGCGCCCCCTATTGTTGAATCAAGCTGAAAATCAAGATATACACTTGAATTGACCTTAGGTACAGTGCTTATGAACAACTTAGAAAAATGTCAATCTTTTGAAGTTCTACTAAAAAAAGAACTTTTTCATTCAAAAAAATTTTGTTTAAGTCATATTTCCAAAAATAAGTAAAATATCCAAAATCCATCCACATCGTTTGGTCAGCCGCTCCTCTTCTCTTGTCAGGCAAAGTTTTGATTCGATTGTGTTTGATGGCCGGGAGGAGTTAACGAAAGTACGTTTGACTTAATATGCAAATTACTAATTTGCATAATTAAAAAATTTTAAATACTCTTCTAAATTTGACTGATTTAATGAACATACAGGATGAGATCATTTGTTTTTTTACTGAAGAAATGGGGAGAAACATGCAAAAAAATTCCATTATTAGGGTTCCAATGCCTGTTGGGCTTGGAGCCCTAATAATAAATCTCACAATACAGCAAGTACACATGTACATGCTGCAGCAACCATTAGGTGTAGGTTCTCTGATCCTGGACATGATCATCCTGAGCTTGAATATAAAAAAAAAACAACTGGACATTTGTTATCTTGCAGACATTTTTCTTCTCATCCTAGAGGCTTCTTCACTTTGGTTGTGAGAAGAAGGCAGTGAGTTATGGTCAGAAATAAACATACTAATTGTGCTAAGTATTTCTTTAGTTTGTCTTTTGAAAATAGAGGTGATGTATATGTTCATAGAATTAAAATTCAAGTTCAGATTATTTGACAGTACAAATGTGTTTGAGTGTTATATATATGGCATCGACCTTAAAAAAAACACATCGGTCGGCCTCTAGAACATGGCATGAATTGTAAACAGCGAGAGCAAAAGTACCAATAACCAGAAATGTAAAATTGTGGAATCAATGAAAAAAATAAAAAAATACTTTTTTCTGCAAAACTAGACAGACCTTAAATGAGTTTGTGTTGCCTCTTGATCATCATCTTAGTTTCATTACAACGGTTGTAACACACAATAACTTTTGTTTCCATGTCCTATCATGGACTACAAAACAAAAGTGTGTTACTAGAGAGCATTGTCCAGATAAGGATAATTTCTACATGAGATTCAAAACACCACCTTAGTTAAACGGATGGGCTTTACGCTGGACCAAACATGCTTTACAACATAATTCCCATATGATAAAGTGAAGGAATGGAGGCCGAGTTTCACCTGGACAAGATGCTGATGAACAGCGTTTAAAATCATAAAACTGGCTAGAAGGCTTGAGTTAAGAGCCACCCCGACAGGGAGAACTGTCGCTGTCAAAATTAATACAACTTCAAATTAACGTTACAGTTTTCCCATTGGAAAAGTCGACGTCGCATGCTTCAGTAGAATGAGTGATTGTCGATATATACACATCTGAAACATGTAGTTGGATTGAACATATTTAAGAAAAACACAAACATCAGCGATATTTTTCACCTCAAACGAACACGCTCAAAGCTTTAAACGGCACTCTGGCTTTGAACCAAGTCTAAAGGAGGAAATAAATGCCGTTTCTTGGGTTTAGTAACAAAAAATTAATTGGATGCAAGTTTTTATTTTAAATCGACGCTTCTTCTTTGACCGTGGCTAACCGCTAACTCCCGTTAGCTATGCACGCTAGCGTACTAACGCGACCCTAAAGACATCACTTGAGCTTAAAAAGCAGACAACAAAAAGCTGGACAGCGGAATAAATCACAGTTTGTGTTTGAATGAATACATTACTGAGTTCATTTACCTTCCGGTTACGGCCTGTGTTAGCGGCGGGCCTCGGGATGGAAATAGCTCAGCTGACAAAGCAGTCGGACACTAACAGCGACGCGCCCTGCCGCTCCACTTCACTCCCTCACATTCCCTAGTCTTTAGGCAGTTGTTGGCCTGCCACCCTCCTCTACTCGCAGCTTGGTTAACGCTCACATTGATTCACATGACAAAAAACAGCTGCTTAAAGTTGCCGAGGTGCTTTTTTATTCCTTTGTGTTCGCTGTTGTCCTTTCTGTGCTGTATTTGTACCCCACAATGCACCGCGCCTCGCTCGCTGCTGAAACAGGAAGTTAGTGACACGTTCATGTGTTCATCGCTTCACAATAAAAGAAAATTCTGCTTTTTTTTTCTCCCAGCATGTCTTTTATGCTATAACATGATGTAACATCAGGTATCACGTAACATTCGTTTTACTCAGTGCAATAATAGTTTAGTATCGCAATTAATTTTACAATAACGTTTTAATTTAAAAGTGTTTTCTGGTTAGAACAGACTAGAATAGAGCAGTCCTTTATTGTCATTATTCCCGAAAGTACAGCAAAATTGAGGGTCCCATTAAACCACCTTACTCCACAAATGGGTAAAACATTAACGAGTTGAAAAAAGCATGATGCTATACGACAAAACACATTTTAAAAGTTGCAAAAGCACAATATGATGAGGTCAATTTTTTAGATACAAATTAAGAATTATACAATGAAACTGACACACATTCTGAAATTCCTGTTTTGGTGGAGGCAACTTTATTTATGTTAATCGCTTGTGTATTTATCATCATAGGTCAACATGTTCCATCTTGCTGAGTTCACCATCAACCAGACCGTAGCTGTAGTGCCTGCAAACTGGTACAGTGATGGCGTGGTGCAATGGCCAAATTACAAGAAAAGCGACAGATTGGAAAGGGCTGCAAAAAATATGGAGGAGTCTGGACCAGTCTGGGAAACATTTGATGTCAGAGTTCTCAAAACCTGTGGTAAGTTGTTGTTTATACGTTTGTGTATATAACATAATTTTTCATCTCTTTGTGTCACATCATTTTAATGTTTTCTTATATTTTTCCTAGATCTGCACTTTGAAGCACAGCAATGCCTGCGGAAGTCACTGTCATGCAACACATCAGATTTGCAGACAGAAAAGGAAGATGATGATGTTCGACCCAAACGACAGCAAAAGGCAGTGTAAGCTATTTTTTATTATGTAAAATTCAATTTTACACATTCAACTCTGAAAAAACTGAAGAAAGCTGTTACCTTTGACAGAATGACACAAGGTTATGCCAATGAACAACAACTGTTTTTTTTTTCTTGTTGTTGTTGTTGTTTCTCCTTTAAAATTACTAGTCATCGGTTGGGTGACAGAGATGACAGCGAAGAAGAAAATCATCCTCCTAAGAAATCCAGGGGTTGACCAAAACCCACACTAAAGTCTACGGCTCCTTCTGTCCCACCACCGCCCAGCCCTATGGCTCTGTACACCTCACTAACTTCACCAGTGTTGTTGGACGGTGGATGTTCAACTGCTCCTTCTGACACACCACTGCCCAACCCTTTGCCACGTTGCGGCAAAGCTCTGTTCCCCTCACCAACTCCACCGTTGTCGATGGACGGTAGACATCCTTCTGAACCAGCCCAGGCAATCAGTCAGAGGCCAACACCCATCTCGGGCAACTTCAATGAAGTACAACCATTCACCGACCGAGAAATGATGACAGACCTTTGGGGTAAGTTCAGAGTAATCATTTTTTTATTAAACAATATTTAATTAGGGATTCCTATGAATGACTTAAATTTTCTGAAATTCTTCCAACAGCCAGACAACTGAGTCTGTTCCACATGATACAGTCACTGAAAAGTGACGTGAAGCAGGGTTTTGCGATGCTTTATAGCTTGCTGAGCAAAGGAAACACACCTGCCCCTGAAAATGAAACGCAGACCCCTGTCCAGTTTCCAATGAGTACGATGGAGGAAGTTGACAGTTTTAAGTGCTGGCTCAAAGATCCATTAAATGTTCATTTGAAACAGAGATTGGTGAGCTTTCTCTTCCACATAACTTATTTGTTGTTCTTTTCCATTCTATTGTTTTTAGACTTCCTGTCTGGCAGCGATCGGGGGCCATGACATCAAACGTGTAACATGGAATGTCCTGGCCCACTTATTCCATGATGATGTCGGAAAGCGGATAAACTGGAAAGGTGTCAATGGGAAGAAGCTGTTCAGCCAGATGACAACAAAGAGCTTGCTTCTGTGTAAGTATAGATTTAAATTTTTGAGAACAGACTAGATAAATTAGACTTTGGCAGTGAATAGTTGACAAAAACCAGACAGTTTCGAGTGTCCTATACTTGAGTCGTAAAAAGAATCCTTTTTGTTTGCAGGTTCTGTACGAAGAAATCCAGTTGGCCGTGCTTGCGCAGGAACTGATATCATTGCGCACGCGATCCGCTGGTTCAACTTGGCTGCAGATAGGGGCGTCGCAAGGAGACGTCATGGGTTTCAAGAAGCTCAACCGGCTGACGACAGCGCATCATTTTAGGAACCTTCATGGAACTCTCATTTTTAAATCATCAATGCTAAACCATCTCCGTTTTCAGCAAATTACAACCAAAGAACTGTTTATAATCCTGAGAGTAATCTCTGTACTGGACTCTTGTCTAACTATGTGTCACGTTGAGGGGATGGTTAGGACCCAAAGTGTTGATTTCCCAGACGACAAGAGGCAGGAGTCGGTATAAAGTAAAAATCCTTTATTCAGGAGGAGAACCAAAAATCCATGGGGGCGAAGGCAAAAACCCAATAACTAAACTAAGGCCTAGTCCACACGTAGCCGGGGTTTTTTGAAAACGAATATCCGCCCCTCCAAAAACTTGCATCCACACCACCACGTTTTAAAAACAAACTCTGTCCACACGTACCCGGATAAATACGTTGTTAAGGACATGCCAGACCTGTAGGCGGCAGTACTTCCCCCGTTCTTAACCTCTTCCTTCGTCTGTGGTCTTCCGCAAGGAGCAGTAATTCCGCTTGCAAAAACAAAAAAGCAAAAAGCGCTTGGACAATTGATGGATCGGGTAGTGACAGAGCGCAGCTGAGGGCTTCCATGCTGTCGGCTAGTGTAAACAGAGGTCGCACACGTGATGTTAGCATTTTTTGTCGCGGAAAGTGACGTTGCGGACCCTAAAACTCCGGTTTTGTCCGTCCACACACAGACACCCAAAACGGAGAAAACGCAGATCTTCACTTTGGCCGGAGTTTTTAAAAAGATCCGTTTTCGTGTGAAAAAACTCCGTTTTCGTGTGAAAAAACTCAGTTTTCATGTGGATGACAGGCCAAAACGTTGAAAAATATCTACGTTTTGGCAGATCCCCGGCTACGTGTGGACAGGGCCTAAGACAAAATCCAAAAGCTCACCTTCTGAGCAGAGAACCAAAGACTGAGACTAGAGTCTAGAGACTGGAGACTGGAGATTGGAGACAAAACAACGCTGACCAAGAAATTCAATGGACCGACAACAACACAGAGACAAGACAGGGCTTAACTAGACTGGGAGGAACAATTAGGAAAACAGGAAGCAGGTGTGTGGAGTGAGGGCTGGAGGGAAGACAGGTGACAACAAATATCTAAATGGGGAAGCAGAACCAAAGGAGGGCAGATAAACACAAAACTGAACTAAAAGACTGAGGGAAGGACTCACAGACACACAATCACACCCAAATACACTCACACACACTGAATTGGGGAATGGACACGCACGCAAACACACACACACACACAAACACACACATACACTCACACACACACACACACACACTGAGTTGGGGAATGGACACACGCACACACCCACACAGACACAGAGCTGGGGACAAAGAGGCTGGAGCTACAACTGGAGGGGATGGGGATGATCGAATGTCTACAAACAGAAAACACATAAATGAGACACAGACAAAGGACACATGAGGGCGCTATGAGACACAAAAGGGAATCAAGAGAGGGATGGAGAACACCAGGAGGCACATGAAGGAAGGGGCAGACGCAGACCATGACACTATGAGCAAAACTTGCACATTGGACTTGTGTAATTTAAATATTTATAATCCTGCTATTTTGTTTGCACATTGGATGGAGTAATAATCCTGCTGCCGTCTTGGCTTTACGCAACTGCCGTAAGTTTCATGTCTTGATTTGCCCATTTACTCAGAATATGGAACTATATTGTGTTAACTCCTGCTGCTGCTATTATTTGCAATTGTTTCTACATTTGCACGCTGAATGTTTCGGTTGTAATTTTTAACCATAGCCAAAAAATGGCTATGGTCAAATCAGGTATGTGAGCACGGCACGGGATAATGATGTAAAAGATTTTAACTGTTAGGATCCCATCAGTTTTGACTTTGGTTTCCCTTATTGTTTTCTGTTAAAGTATTAGGTATTTTTTCCCTTCCACAAAGTTTTCTCCCTGTTTATAATTACATTATCATTCATTCATTCTGTTGTGTTTTTTTTTTGTTTGTTTGTTTTAATGGAAATTGCATTGACATGTGCCTACATGTGAATAAATGTTTGAATCTTGAATAGTTTGGTGTTATTTTTCCCAGATGGTAACATCTACAAATTTTTTTTCCAAATGTGCTACTTATCATGCTGGTGATGCTGTTACCGTATTTACCCCATGTGGTATATATATATATATATATATATATATATATATATATATATATATATATATATATATATATATATATATATATATATATATATATATATGGCTATGAATGGGTGGCCTGGGGGCGGAGGGGTGAAGAGAAATGATCTAAATCAATGAGATCCCGTTCTGGATCCAAAACGGATTTGCTTTGGACCCAGGCGGATATGAAATGGATCCGCTCAGGACTAGACTGGATCTGACAACATCCAGCACGGATCCTGTCTGGACCCTATCTGGATCCACGACCTGGATCTCTTCCGGACTCCACGCGGCACTTATAGTGACCCCACTGCAGAATCATTTTGCTGATCCGTTCCGGAGACTACCGTAGGTCCACTGCGGATCTGTCCCGGTGCCCGTTTGCTGTAGGAGAACATGATAAATATATTTTAAAGTACAAGAAACCATGAGATAGATGAGGTGATACATAGATAGTAAAATAAGTGCAAAAGAGGTAAAAATAGATTAACAGATTAAGAATACAAAGCACGCATAAACAAAATGAGTATTTAATGAGTATGTGCATATGAAAATGTACGCAATTCATTTGAGTGCATGCATGTGTGTGTGTGTGTGAGTGTGTGTGTGCGTGCGTGCGTGCGTGTGTGTGTGTGTGTGTGTGTGTGTGTGTGTGTGTGTGTGTGTGTGTGAGTGTGTGTGTGCGTGCGTGTGTGTGTGTGTGTGTGTGTGTGTGTGTTGTGTGTGTGTGTGTGTGTGTGTGTGTGTGTGTGTGTGTGTGTGTGTGTGTGTGTGTGTTTGTGTGTTTTGCAACATGTAATTCTCATTTTTTAAAATGTAACTTTTGGTACGCAACATGAAACTTTCATTTTGTAACTTACAGGAAAAAAAATCTGTGTGCAAGTTTTAACTCACAACTCTCAAAACACACATCTCACTCTACATTGAGAATGACAGAAATCCGTGGCACGTGGTTGGCTGATAAGACAAAGCATTTCATTGGATCTTTTGGAAGCCAGCTTGGAACAAAATGTTTTGTACTTGTAGACTGAGATTTGTGATTTGAAAGTTGTGATTTGAAACTTGTACATTGATTTTTTTCTGCAAGTTACGAAATTAAAGTGTCATGTTACGTTCCGAAATTACGTGCTACAAAATGAAAGTTAGGTGTTACAAAACGTGAACTACATGCTGCAAAACAAAAGTTACATGTTACAAAACATGGTACATGTTACATGTAATATTGTCCCAATTCTAGTTCCATATAATTCTGGTGGTGTGTGACTAGTCCTGCATGACCTTCCCTGACAGTAGTAGCTAAAATTGGGGGTGTGTAGTGTGAGGGGTCACCAGGAATAACCTTGGTTTTCTGCAGGACGTGCAGTTGTCCTCCAGGGTGGGCAGAGGGCAGTCAACTATTTTCTTAAACTGTTTGTATCACTCTGCACCAACTTATACCCAGACAGTACATAAACACACTCTCTAGAGAAGTGGTAGATGGCCAGCGGCAGTTTCATGTCCAGACTGTTCTTTCTGATGACGTACATGAAGTGTAGCCACTGCTGAGCCTTGTTAATCAGAGCCTTGATATTGCAGGTCCAGGCGTTGTCTGCAGTGATGTGGGGGCCCAGAAATCTGAAGATGGTGACAGTCTCCACCTGTTCTTGATTGATGGGTGGGTGGGTGGTGGTGGTGGTGGTGGTGGTGGTGGTGGTGGGGGGGGGGGGGGGGTTATCCTGTAGTTCCTGCAGTTCATTGTGAGGATGTCCTGGGTGATGTTGCAAGTTGAGTAGTCCCCAAACAGCATCCTCATGTGGCTCTTTTTTGTCCTCCAGGTGGCTCAGTGCTGTGTTGACCGAGAGGACAATGGCGTTCTTTATGAACTGGTACACACTGTAAAACCTAACAGCTTATCTTAAACAAAGTGAGTTCAAATAACTTAATTCCCTGAAAACGTTGCAGTAACTGATTTCTATGAAGTTTACGTTACTCTAAAGTGTCTAAGGCACACCTGTACATTATTCATGCTGTCTCATCAGCCCCTTGATATGCCACATCTGTGAGGTTGGATGGATCATCTTGGTAAAGGAAAAGTGCTCACTAACACACATGCAGACAGATATCAGAACACTAGTTGATAGCCGTGGGTGCAGTGGCAGATTTAGCAATTTGGGGGCCCAAGGCGAACACAGACATGGGGCCCCTTACACAAAATTTTCAACAATCTTATCTTTAACTGGATTTGCAAAACTCTCCCCTGCTCTGACATGAGTTATTTTCCCTTTTTATTAGTCCTCCTCTTTTTTCCTGTATTTCCCTCCCTTTGAGCGTTTTCAATATTTGCTCTGCTTTCTTTTTCCTGTCAGTGCTCCTGTGCTTTAGCCTTTTTTTTTTTCTATTTTCCATTTTGGTCCATGTTTTCCTCCCTTTAAACATTTTCCATTGTCTTTCCTTTCTGCCTCCTTTAGATGTTTACATAGAAAAACGACGTCACTTTCAGAAGTGAAGATAAAAGCTTGTTTTAAAGCATGCTGCTTCTTTCTCTTATTGGAGCCACGAGGATAACTCCATTTCATGCTTAATGTTTTGACTATCGCTTTGAGTTTGTTACGAATGCTCCCGCCTCTCTTCATCTTTTTGGGAATTTTGCTGTATTTCCTTTTTATCTTTTATCTGTGTTCGACATGTTTGTATACCGCCTGTTTAATTAACTAACATTTTTAGTGTACAGTGCCTTGTTTTGTTGTAATGCCTTGTGAATGCGCTTCATAAATAAAATTGGATTGGATTGGATTGGATCTTCTTATTTGTGGTCTTATGGCACTTGGCAAACAACAATTTGGTGCATTACCGCCACCAACTGGATTGGAGTGGAATGACTACCAATCACTTCCTGTTTGTGCATCGCCGTCTTAATAACCCTCTTATGACCATAATTATAACAGGGCCGCCTGGTATTTTTTTAATCTTATGGTTGTAAAATTGTAATTAAAAGTGCAAAGTGTGTGTAACTCCTCTCCTTTTTTCAGAACAACCTCAGCTTTCAGTGTATGGTTTGTATTTAGAATTTATTTCTATTAAAGCCTTTAAAAAATCAGCTTAAAAGTGAAAAAAGCAAAAAAACAGATTTGAATTTTTTACATTTATTACTGAACAGGAACTTCAAAATTACTGGGAAAACAACTTGGAATGAACAAGTTAAATTTTAAACTGTAATGCATCTAAAAAAGTTTGAACCTTGGTATCTATTTTTTGGCAGTTTTTAAGACCATTTATTTTTGTAAACTTTCAGATGTTTTTATTTGATGTGGTAGACCTTTAAGCAGTTTCTCTCCAGCTGCAGGCAGAGCGCACCTCACACCTGGTTAGATGGAAGGCACTCACCTCTGACCAGCTATAATAACTCAATTTATTTAAGCACAGTTAACTCACATAAGTAGATTTTCCAAATGTCAACAATTTAATTTAATAAACTTAAATGATGCAAGGCAATTAATTTCTTTCATTTATTTGAATTGAACTTACTTGGCAGGTTTTACAGTGCAATATGTGTTGAAATCAGTGATGATTGCTAAGACTGATAGCTCTTTGATGACTCACTTTATATCTTCAACTGACATGTTTGATTATGCATGCAGATGTTCCATTCTGTCTTCTATAAATGTGTGTGGCATATTTAGTTTTTCAAATATGGTTATGTGTACTCAGCATTTTGCATGTTTTAATCTTTAAAGTGATCTAATGGCGATAATATAAAATACAATACAATAGTATAATATAAAAAAAATCAAAATACCCTCAAAAACCCTCAAAATAAATTCCCATATTATAAAATATTTTATCTTTTTTTTTGTCCCGTAGAATCTGTTACAACAAATAAACACTCCAAACTTACATAAATGTGTTTATTTGGCCATTTTACACACAACAAAACAGAAACAGCATGTTATGACATATTCAAGGTAAAAACTTAAAAAATAAATAGCTGAAAAAGCTGCAATAATAAAATAGCTTGATCCTTCACTGAAGGGATATCAACCCAATGACCCATCTCTTTTTATATTATATTATACTGTAAGTTAACAAAAGGCTTAAAGGAATCAAATATACATACAGGTGTTTGAAAAAAAATGGTGTTAGCTTAGAATGTATTTACTTATTAAATATGTTTGGAAATTATAACAAATAAAGCTTCTATTCATTTGCAATCACTCAGTCTTGTGCAGACAAAAACACTTCTAGAGAAACATTTCTTGCTATGACAGTTATTTGTACCTGTGTTTGTCCCAAATGCACCAAACTGCATATAGTATAAAGTATATACTATAGCTCAACAATCCTAATTATAGAACAAAAGCAATAAATACTGAACACAACTGATCTGTACGTGAGAAGAAAAGAGAAGCAATCACATGAGCACATTTCCTAGAGGCCTCGGTTTTAGGTTGGGTAAACAGCTCAATCAGAGCTTTACAGGATATTGAGTTGTGTGGAGCACAGTCAGAGGTATAAATGTACACTGAGCTGGTGTTTGACAGCAGGTTTCATGTCAACATTCTAGGCCTACTCCAAGTGTCGCCTAACTCTGGAAGACTAAGTGTAGATCATCCCTAATTGCCTCCAAAAAGTCAGTTCTTTTTTAAGTAGGTCAAAAATACTTTTCATACTAGAAAAAGTAAACACCACATCTTAACCAGAATCCATACGTAGCATCACATGTACACAGTGAGGTAGATTTCAATAGTTTCTGATTTCTCTAGTGGTTACCTAAGATCAGTAAAAGCAAAACAATAGTCAGGTAAAAGTCTGTGAAGTGATTTGCTGCGGACTTGGACAGATAAAAAAATGGGCCCAAGGACACAGGGATCCATTAGTTCCTTTATCCCTCCCACTTAGAGCCACCAGCATATTTTGAATGGCATTTTGCAGGTCAACATGAACGTTTAGAAATATGGAGGCACAACTGGGTCAAATTCAGATAGTTGTAGTTCTTTGTCATTTCAGAACAGTTTGTTCTTTTGAGGCATTTCTGTGTTTCTTTTTAGGCACTTTTTTAAAAAAAATTCTTGGTTGATTTGCAAGTGGCCTGCAATGGACTGGCTCTCTGTCCAGGGTGTACCCCACCTGATTGCCCATTGACCGCTGGAGATAGGCACCAGCCCCCCTGCAACCCTACATGGGCAAGCGGGTTCAGAAAATGGATGGATGGATGATTTGCAAGTTTTTGTGAGTGTGGTTTCTTTGTATTTACTTTGTCTGGTTTTTGCAGTTGTTTGTGCCTCCATCCCTGAACCTGGCACACCCATACAGTATTCTATCCTTGACTGGGACGTGCAATTAGACCAAAGGCAGAGTTTACAGTTATATCGTTCTTCATAAGCAGTCATGATTGTTACAATCCCCAGAAACTGGTTCTGGGATTTTGTTTGAATCACACATCTCTGGCTCAACAGTCTTGCCAGTGTAGTCTATGCAGAAGACGCTACGGTGGCGTTCCCCTTGGCCACAAGTTCGTGAGCAGGCAGACCAAGGTCCCATCTGCCATATGGGACATGGCAAATCCCCACAAGGCCTGATGTCTGTGGGCTTTTTTGTTTTGTCACACTGGCAAGAAAGGAAGCCTTCGCCATCTCTGCATTCAATGCTCCTTCTGGACCATCCAGAGCCGCAGCTCTTGGAGCACTCAGACCACTCCCCTAGCACCCATTCAGAAACACTATTTATCATCTGCAAAGACATGTCTGAGGCCGTTTTCTCTTTTGAATTATTAGACATCACATCCTTCGGGATGAAAAAGGTGTACTTGATTTTGGGAAGGTTGTCCACTCTTCCTGTGGTCAGAAGTTGAATGGTGATGGTCTCCTTCAGTTGCCTGAAGCTCTGGATCCTTTCTAATGTGGTAGAAGAGCCGCTGTACTTTAGTACTGCACCTAGAACTGGGATGTCCTGCTCCACCGTAGACACAGAGAAGTTACCATTAAGGATATAGGTGCCACTCTCTCTTTTCACAGCCAGGTAGTTCCCATCATGTCTGATTCCTCTGTGGCTACGCTGTTTGATGTCAATATTAGTGGCACCAATGGGAATTGTGACAATGTCACTGTATCCATAGCTGGTAGAAAAAGGTACAAGACAGTATTAGATGACTCACACATTGTACACAACTTAGTCTCTATGGCATGCTGCTCTAAGGCTACGTTCACACTGCAGGCCTTGAGGTTCATTTCCGATTTTTTGAGTAAATCTGATTTTTTTGTATGGCCGTTCACACCGTGGCTGCAATACGACATCAAACTCTCTCCAGTGTGAACGCTCCGCGGCACCAAAGCGACCCGCATGAGCAGAAGACAAGAAGTCACACTCGACGGTTTTCTGACGTAGTCCTGATCTTCTGTTAATTCTTCTGTTATGGTCTGGAAACTGTTTTAAAAACTGTAAACTATTTTACTCCTTGCTCTCGCCGTCTCCCTGAATTATTGTTCACCGATAATGTTCCGGTATTAATTCATTCATGGGGAACCCCCCTTCCTCCCTTCACGGAGACAGAGACCAGTGAAACGCTTCGCTCCAGCAGAACCTCCACCTCTTGTTCACATTTATTATTGTATTTTTAATTCCTATACTTAAAACAGGATGTCCAGACAGACTCCTGAACCATTCTGTCAGCGCTTCTCCTCAGGAACATCCACATACGACGCTCACCTCCGCTGACTCAGCAATGTAGGAGACGGATTTAATGCAACGTGACCATTTAGACTGCAGTCACTTTTAAAAAAATCAGATATGCATCAGAATTAGTACTACATATTCAAGTGACACGGATCGCATTTAAAAAAATGGATCTGTGCGTTTAGACTGTCATAAAAAGTCAGATATGGCATGTGGGGGAAAATGTGGATTGTATGCACTTTTTGCCTACAGTGTGAACGTAGCCTAAGGCCCAGTTCAGAGATTTAAAAATGAACGAGGGACCACACATATTGCAATAAAAATTTCACAGATGTAACGGTTTTGGTCCTAGTTTGTGGTGTCCAGCCACAAGGATAATACCACACACAACACATTAAACTCCTACATGAGTTTTCATCACCAGTATGCCAAACTGGGATTGCTCTGAGTCCCCTTTGACAGAGATATAATGCATACATAAAATATCTAAAATAATGTACATTAAGGCGTACTGTCTCTCTCAAGCAAATAAGTAAATGAAAATGAAAAAATAAAAATCCACTTCAAAACAGATTTACTGCAGAAATCTAGTGGGAGAAAGAAAATTAACATATCTGCATCACTCAAATTAAAAATATGAAGCTGTATTTACAAGGTGTCATAGGTAATAATGTTTTTCTTTTATAGTTAAGCTACTGCACATTTGCACGTGTTTTATTTTGAAATTTTCTGGATGCTTTACACCATTTCTATAATTTCCTGCCTATCCCGATCTGATTTGCTGAGCTTGATGCATTCTGCAAGTGTAGCTAGCTTGTAAAATCATGACTATAGGGGATCAATTTAGTGGAGGGTCATGACACTACACTTATTTACTATGATATTATATAAATACATTTTAAATAGCATACATTTGAACAATTTTCTGAGTTTTTTTGTGTGGTGTCCTTACAATGCTTTGTTGTAGGATCCTGTGACCTTTATGCAGCTAAGTCCATTTCCTCCACACACTCCACACTTATCCACCCTCTTGCTGGATCCAATCACCTGGTCACAGCCTGCTTTTACACACTGGCCTTGAACACAAACCGATGTGGTGTCAGGCCCACAGGTTGTCCCGTCAATCACCTGCAGAAACGCAACACAAAGTTGTACAGGATAATTCAGAAGGTTTCAGAAGATGAACGTTTTAATCAGACTGTAGACATGATCATTTTAACCAGGGGTGTGTCCAGGGAGTGGCCTGGGGTAGCACATGCCACCCTTGGAATCTGATTGGCCACCCCAGGAGCCACCACACTAATTTACTTTTAAATAGGCTTTTCGTTGTCCACAAATGGCTTGGGGGTAAAACAAAAAAAAAAGCATAACCATTGGTGCCACCCATGCACAAAACTGTGCCTCACCTGGGCCACCCCATTTTAAAAGATCTTGACACGCCACTGATTTTAACCCTGTCACTTAAAGGTTACGGGAACATAATGCTAACATTATCAGCTTCTGAAATGACATTTTATCAAATCCCTGTCACCAATACTTTAGCCGTGGCCAACAACAAATCTGTTACAAAAGTTTGCTCTTATGAACTCAGAATTTTTTGAAGAATGCTCCACTGGATCAAAGTGAGAAGAAGTTCCTCTTTGCTATAAAAATAAACATAATCTCCAAGAAAACGTCTCTTTGAGTGAATAAACACAACTTCAGAAAGCAAAGTCCAACAGTGGCAGGACAACCTTCTTAGAACATGGATGGGTACTGTACCTTAGATTCAAACACTTTAAACTCACTGCTGCCCCTGGCCCTGCAGAAGAGTTTACACCTGTCTCTGGGGGAAACACCAGCATATTTTGGTATCCACTGTTTGACGTTCCCATTGTGGTCCAAGTAGATCAGGCTGTTGTATTTGTCACACTGCTCTTCTCTGAAACTTTTACCTAAACCACAGAGCAAGAAAAAACAAGTCCACCTTTAACTGATCAAATAATGAAATACATTAACAGGTTACATTTTCATCATTGGATGTAACAAGTCTATCCCATAAATTTGTTTCACATTATAAGTTGAATTACTGACATAAATGAACTTTTGCACCAGATTATAATTTTTTGGAAGTTCACCTGCATGTTTGCCGGTGTCCTTTTGTTGGTGCAGTTTTCTTTTTCTAAACTCATTTCTAATTTTCATTCTTTGTTGCAGTGGTTCCCAACCTGGGGTCCTTGTCCCCCCAAGGGGTTCCCCAGAAGATTGGACCCCACATATTTGTGTGTGCTGAGGTTGTGAGCTTACCAACAATATAGTTGTGAAAATTGCATTTACAAAATCCAGAGAAAACACGCAATAGTACAATCAAAACTCTGTGTAAGAAGCATAACTCTGTATGTGTGTGTAAAGTTCGTAATTTTTCACATTTACATGTGTGCTTTAGGAGTAGGGGTTGGGGGCTCTGGCTTGTCTTGAACACAGGGAAGGGGACCATTGTGAAAAAAGGTTGGGAACCACTGCTTTATTCTATTTTTTGCAGGCCACACTGATAGCCTACTGTTTGTGTGTCTGTAACTGTCTTCATTATATTGTTATTCCCTGAATGTGCTGCCTTAATGTGTGGATTTCCCTACTTTGAGATTATTAATTCAATTCATTCATTCAATCATTCGTTCATTCATGGTTCAAAAATGCATCTAACGATTTACATCAGTACTCAGCCAGGGTTCTGACTTTAATGGGAGAGCAGCACAGGTTCTGGATTTAAACCCTTCTGAGCTGCTATGGGTCAAGTTGGGATAAAGGAAGACTGAGTCAGTCTGTCTTTTTTAGTCATGTGACTAACACGCCCTCCAGTGCCATTTTATTAGGGAATGAGAGGAGAGCCTTACACGATCGAATAGTTTTAGCAATTTTAAGCTATTAATGGATAGCCTATCAAAAGAAACGCAGCAAAAATTCTAGGGATTCACATTTAGCTAAGGTGTCCATCGTAAACAGCATCAATCCAACCTGAAGACCAACCGCTGGAGAGCCGCTGCAGCCCTCATCTCTCCAACATCCACTCTGGACATCATAAACTATCTTTGTTTATGGAATAAGTCTTTATACTTTTGAGAGGTTTTGAAGCTAAATTACTAGAAGATCACAAACACCAATGGTAAAGTATCATAAACACATTCTAAATAAAACATATTTAATAAATAAAGTTTTGTGTTTAAATGTGTCCGACTACCCATTTCCATTTCACATCTGCAATAAGCCATCTTTAGATCTTTCTAATGTCTGCAGGAGATTTTTTTCTTGCAACAAAAATTTACATTGTTTTAGTCTTTTCCTTAAGTTTGTTGTGTTCCCTTCACCAACTATGACTCCATTAATGCGCAGCACTTTTGCTTGTGTGATGTCATCAAAAAAAGACTGACTGGAAGCTGCTTCAAGAAGAAATCAGGTTACCTGGGAACACAACGGGTAAAATACTAAGTCTGCCAGGCCGGAAGTGCTACTAGTTAAAAGTTAAGAAAACATTATTTTCATTTGTTCTATGTTCCTGCTCATTTTTTAAGGTGAACAAACATGTTTCTACAGGTTCCCAAACTTTTGGTTGGTTGTGTTGGATTCTGTCAAAGAACGAGCACAGGTTCAACCAAAAATGGGTTTAGGAGATGGTTTCTATGAGACAAGAAGACATAGATGGTACTTGCATGCATACTTCCTTACCACAGTTTAGAATGTTCAATTTTTATCTTCAGCACACTTCAAATTTAACTGATATTTACCATTGCTGTTGTCACACAGCTGGATGTTGCAGGACTGGTACCGAACCCTCTGCCCCTCACAGTACATCCCTTCGTTCTGAGGCACTGGATTGGTGCACTCCCTGTAGGAGAACTCCACTCCACCTCCACAGGTCCTGGAGCACTGCTGCCAAGGCCCCCATGAGCTCCAACCACCATCCACAGCCATCTGTGGTGAAACAGAGAAAAACAAGATCCTTCAGCAGAGCTGGTTAGAGCTCAGAGCCAAAGCTGAGAACCTAAACCACAGTCTGGGCTTCTGGGTTTGAGGCCCATCAGTGTGTGTGTGTGTGCAAAGCCTCAAAGCTAAATTTCTGTTGAAGTGCAGCACGCGCCTCCTGTCTGCCTCTGCCCGCATTCCTGCCACATGTGTCACTCATCACGGGTGGAAGCTGCCATGCTGCAACTTTTTATTCCTAAACCAAATGTGTTTTTGTTTGCTAGTGTGGGTTTTCGTTTCAGATGTTTTATGAGTTTGGAGCAGAAAACATCCTAACTGCCAACACATCTGGATCCATAAACGATGTGTGCATATAACACATGGGGAGGATCTCAAGGCAGCCAAACTAAAAAGGAACACTGAGATGTATAAATGATCTATTAAAAACATAAAGTGGCACCATGAAGCAGCTGCTTTCATACTCACTGAAGTGGATCACTGGCTGGTTTTGTTCTGTTTGTTTTCTAAATAATTAAACAAAACCTCTGCTGTGTGGAGACAGCTACAGTTATGTGGGCAGAGTGGTCACCTCTCAATCAGAAGGCTGGTTTGATCCTAGCTTCCCGAACACATGCTGAGGTGTTATGGGGACGCGTGTGTGTGTGTGTGTGTGTGTGTGTGTGTGTGTACTTGTCTTTATATGTTTAAGTGGACAATTTTTAACATTAACCTGTACATTTCCCCATTGTGGGGACATTTTGCTGGTCCACACAATGCTAAGCACCCTAAAATGTGGTTTTAAAGGTATGATGTGAATTAGCTTTTAGTTTAGGTTAGTTTAGGTTAGGGTTAGGAATAGAACCCCATTGGTTAAGGTTAGGGTTAGGGTATAGGTTAGGCATAATATAGTCACTAAAATAAATGGAAATCACTGGAGGTCCACACAAACGTGTATACGTATATACATGTATGTGTGTGGGTTCTACAATCCCGCAAGGCACTTCACAACACAATCAGTCATTCACCCATTCACACACACATTCACATGCTGGTGGGGATGAGCTACAATTTAGCCACAGCTGCCCTGGGGCGCACTGACAGAAGCAAGACCTGCCAGAAACTGGCCCCATCATTCCCTCCAACCAACGAAACAGACACATTTCTGGAGTCAAATAACATTATGGATGGTTTTCAGTCAGGCTTTAGACAGCACCACAGTACAGAGACTGCACTGATCGAGGTATTAAACAACATTCGTCTCAGCACTGACACAGATAAAGCATCGGTCCCGCTTTTGATACTGTGGACCACAACATTCTCCTCGACAGGTTCACAAATTTGGTGGGACTATCTGGTACAATGCTTGCCTGGTTCCAATCCTATCTCAAAGACAGGGGCTATGTTTTCTCTATTAGGGATTAAAAATCAAAGCGGATCACCATGAAATGTGGAGTCCCTCAAGGCTCAATTCTAGGATCACTACTCATTAATCTATATATATGCTCCCCCTGGGTCAGGTCATACTTAATAACAACTTTGCCTATCATAGCTATGCTAACGACACCCAGATCTACCTAGCCTTATCACCTGCTGACTATCTGTCACACTCTGTCAGTACCTAGAGCACATAAACAACTGGATGCAGTCAAACTTCCTTCGGTTAAACAAAGACAAGATTGAAGTTATTTTCTTTGGCAACAAGAAGGTTGGGATGGATGTTATTGCTCAGCTGGAGTCCAGGGGAATAAAGACAAAGACCCAGGTTAGAAATCTTGGTGTCATCATTGACTCCGACCTGAGCTTCTCTGGACAAATTAAGGCTACAACTAAATCAGCGTTTTATCACCTTTATCAAATATCAAGAGTCAGAGGTCTCATGTCCAGACGAGACTTAAAGAAACTCATTCATGCTTTTAGTTCTAGTCGGCTGGGCTATTGCAATGGTATCCTAACTGGTCTAATTTTATGTGTGTATATGTTTAATTTGTGTTCTCCTTTTTATTGCCGTGCCATTTCATGCTAATTGTAAAGCCCTTTGAATTCCCCTAGGTTTGAAATGTGCTCTATAAATACAGCTGCCTTGCCTTGCCTTGCCTAGTACCTCTGCCTACTTCACCAGTCAGATTTGTATCTGGCTTTTGACAGATGTGGACTGGACAGTTGCTGCAGGCAGCATGAGTCACTGGTTACATCTGTCCTTTTTTGTTTCAATTAGAGATGCTTCTGCTTTCTGAACACATTCTCACACCCAAGACATCAAAATATGATGCCTTTGACCAAGCCTCAATATATGACGAATCGGGACGCCCCAGCGCGTCAGGAGACAATGATCAGGGACAAACAGCTGACGCAGCGTCCCAGAGCGTCGGTATCTGACGCCGGTGGTGAGACGGACATTAGAACTACTTGTGAACTACTTAACTTTCCCCTCACCCAAATCCTAACCTTAAGGTCACAGTTTATGGACCTTAAGGTTAGGATTGGGGTGAGGGGAAGGTTGAGTAGTCGAATAATGTCCGTGTGACCGTGCGCTTCAAACAGTGACGCCAGTGGAGCCACGTGACCCAGCGTGCCCCTGATCGTCGTCTCTTGACGCGCTGGGGCGTCCCGATTCGTCATATATTGAGGCTTGGTAACAGGCGTCATATTTTGACGCCTTGGGTGTGAGAATGTTTTGTGGAGGCCTAACTATTTTTTGTAGGATACCTCATGTGATCCAAACTGATGGCTGGAGAATTGGAATGAATCCTGAATATATTTACTTTTTTAGGGATGTTAAGTGCAAATAAACTGGGAAGAGACAACAGCATTCTGGGTAAACTATACTAGTCATGAGTCCTTGTATCCAGGTTACCTGGATCGTTTCCTGGAGATATAGTTGATTACAGGGTTTGTACCTCCAAAGGTCATTGATGTATACGACCCTGACCATGTTTCAATTCTCCAGGAAAAATAAAACATTTCATTTCTGCAAGAATGTTTGTTTCACATATAATTACAGCTTTTTTATTTAAAAAAAATCCTCATCAGAGACATTGTCTTACCAGCGGCTGCAACATCTCTTCAGACAACCTGCATTCTCCATTGAGGCAAGTCCCGTTGTGGCTGCAGGGGGAGCCATCAGCCCAAGGCAAGCTGCCATTCTTGGTGGAGCACTGTGGCATGCCGTCCTCTCGACACCACAGCTGGCTGCAGATATCACTGTCCGATATGTTAGGGCAGTGCATAAACTCCTCTCCAAAGATCTGTTGGCATTGTTGGTCCAGACTATACTTGATGCCTGGCAGTTCATTCGGCATAGACATGGTGTCCTCTGGGACATCGAGCAGACAGTCCCCTGTAGTTAGAGCACAAATCAGTATGGTTTTAGTCTGACAGGTTTGAAGATCACAGCATTTAAGGCACTGACAGACCTCTGTCTATGGCATGACACCACTGTCAAAAGCTCGGGGCACGTTGTGTCCTGAAGGGAATTATTTTTATTTTGACAAATGAATTTTTTATGAAAGCTTGGAATTTGGACACAGCTCATCTAAATCAGAATTCATTAATCATCTTTCTAATTAAGTTTATTGCTTTAAGAGTGATTCTGTCTGAAGTTGGCTATGACTTCATTGTTTTGGATCGAACATTCTCCTCCACATGAGTTTTTACTAGACATATTTTCCAGTAGATAAAGAACACATTCTTTCACCGCCAGCTGTTGCTTTTGGCTACAGAGGTGAGGAGCAGGACGAAGTCCACAGCATGACTCAGTGGAAAGGAAGGCTCGTCGACAGATCCAGAAAGGATACAAACAATACAAGACAGACATGATGAAAGTTTTTAAAAAGCGGAAAGCGAGAGGAGGGAGGAGAAGAGGATGTGGAACTCTAGAGGAACCACAACCTATAATTTAGGGGGATCAGTGTGTTTAAGCAGAAAAGCCACCAGTCCAGAGATGCTGAGTAGAAAAGTGTGTTTTCTACATCCCTGAATAAATCTCGTAACAAAGCTGTGATGTTGATCCCGTTTTGGAGAAGCCTACTGTCTGATGTTTGGTTCTCACCATGCCCATTGTCGAAGAACTCTGTGATGTGGAGAGCGCTGCAGGGAGACCAGGGGGCAGTTTTGTTGAAGCTAACAAAGAGAGGAGCCATCAGGTGGTGTTCTCCTAGATCCCCAAACAACTTCTCACATGTCTTTGAGTCATCATGAGGCATACTCAACACATGCCCTGTGGGCAGGGAAAAGATGAGAAAACGGCTAAACTTTAGACCAAGATGTAACAGAATCCTGCATCCATCCCAACTCAATCAAATGACAGCAGGTCATGTGGGACCTCACCAAGCTCATGAGCAGCCGTGAAAGCAGTTTGCAGACCGTTGTCCTCAATGACTGAGCAGCTTCTTTTGGGATCACACATTGTCCCAACATCAGCCACACCCAGTGTGTCACAGCTTTTCTGCCCGCAGATGTCCTGCAACAAACAAAATGTACGCCGTAAACAGAGCTCTGAGAATCAGATGAACACAAGCAGTGACTGGATTAGTGACTTTTGAGGATTTGCCCTGTCGAGGTTCGTAAAACAAGTGAAGATGTTTATGTCTTCTTGATCTTTTGTACAGCCTGATGCGCTCAGCCCTTAGGTCTGCCCACTGGAGTCTTGCATAGATGGTGATAATTGTACAGAAACAAGAAAACAAGACGATATATAGGCTTGTCTATGGTAAAAGTGTCGATCACACAGCTTTTAAAAGACGGTTAAAGTTTAGAGAGCTTCCCCACAGCATCGTGACCCAGACACCATGTCCTCAAACCTGAGACAGCCTGAGGTTCTACTGAGGCTTAAAACTATATGTGTTATGATGTATACCGCCTTAGCTTAACTTTAACTTAGCGTTATTGTTCTATGGTAAGGGTTAGGCATACTGACATCCAAGCACATCACTTTAGTAAACAGCGAGAAACAACAGTGAAATACAAACGCTGTAAATGAGAGTCAGAGGCAGCTGGATGGACATAAATATTACATTATTCCATAATTTGATGTGAACCTTATGAAGAACAACCATCAAAAAATCAGCTCTTACTGAACTAAACTGTGACCTTAATGAAAAGCATGAGGTGCAGCTGTGAAGCAAAGCTCAACTTGGACATTAGTGGTTTGAAATGTTTGTGTGCGCGCGCGCGTGTGTGTGTGTGTGTGTGTGTGTGTGTGTGTGTGTGTGTGGGTGTGTGTGTGTGTGTGTGTGTGCGTGCGTGCGTGCGTGTGTGTTTTGATGTCGTCATCAGTGCATTATGTAACATTCAGGAGTGATTTTAAAACCAGATATTAACAGATGAGAATTTGAAATATTTAGGATTTTTGGCTCGGCGTAGTAAATTAATCGCATTACATTTCCATTAGAAATTCTGCTGTGCTTCTCTCTTTTATACTGTGACATTAACCATCATCAGAGCGGGAACACTGGGGCATCAGGAACATGCATCGGTGGCCTCCCCTCAGCCCCACTCTGAAAAAAGCTATAAGGCAGAACTCTGATTTAAAAGACATCTGGACCAGAGCTGGAGTTTAGACACAGCTCAGCATGTTTGTACGCCACGTTCCACCACAGAAACCATCACTCTTGTAAACATGCATGGGCCAGTTGGTCAAAGCTCACGATATAGTAGAACATCTGAAAATAGTGCAGAAAGACTCAAAAACACAGAGCATGGAGCCACAAAAAGGAAAAAGAGTGTTTCCATTACATTTAGCAGAGAGTAACCGAGTTTTCCAACAGCGAGTAGTCTTCCCTCATTACTGCTGGGTGCTTGGATCACATTTAAACATTGAACTAGCAGCAGGACTGATTTGTGTTGCCACTGAACTTAGCTTGCCCACGAAGAGCCTTCCACCCTCTGAATTTCAAAGCATCGTTGCACGGAAAAGGAAAACAAACCTAAATTGTATTTGCTCGATTGAATCAACAAGTCCAACAGGAGACAGCAAATCTCCATGCGTTCCACTCATCATTTCCCACGTCCGGCCTCAGATTTACATTGTAGGTGGTGTAGGCAGGTAAACATCAGACCTGTCATCAGATCAGAACCAAGGTTCTGGCACTTAGCTATAAAACTGTAATAATAGCGGCGTAGCGTGCCTAATGTTTATTCAGCTAACACCTTGTCAGCATAACAGATGGAAGAATGCAGCCAAAGGCAGCAGAGCCAGTCAATCGCAGCTGAAACCCTGAGGAAGTATGAAGCACCCATAAAGCAACTTTTGTTTGCTCTTTGTTGACATTCTGACCGCTCGGAAAAGATTACAACTTTTCCAAATCAACAATCTGTTTTCCACATCCCTAACTGAACCCAGTAGGCTAGACAGACTTTCCGTTTTATCCTCCCTGTTCCTCATCTTCTTTCCTAACCCTTAGGGCTCCCCACAAAGTCGGATAGAAGTATAATTTCTCTAAGGAAAAGGGGTCTACTGAACAACAGAAACAAAAATGGGCCTTTGCTGCATGGTGAGTGAGGAGGGGTTTATGCTGGAAAAATGAAAAATATTCCAGACATCGCATTAGCAATAAAGAAACTACATTAAACGGCCCCTCAGACTTATAATTGACTCCCTCCATTTACTATTCATATACTTTTTATCCAACGTTTCATTCACAATTATCATCTAATTGGAGACTCTATCCGTGGTGAGGGTCAATTTTATTTCTTTATCAATGTTATATTTTGTAATTACATAACAAAATAAAATCAATAGGTTTTATAGAAACAGTAGCAAATTAAAATTAATTATTATTATCATTGTTATTATTATTATTATCATTATTATTATTATTGTTATTGTTATTGTTATTATTATTATTATTATTATTATTGTTATTATTATTATTATTGTTGTTGTTGTTGTTATTATTTAAAATACTGCAACAGCTGTAGCTCATTGAGGTAAAGCAGGCTGTCCAGTAATCGGAAGGTTGCAGGTTTAATCCCAGCTTCCACCAAAACAGGCTGCTGTTGTGTCCTTGGGCAAGACACTTAACCCGCCTTGCGTGCTGGTGGTGGTCGGAGGGACCGATGGTGTCTGTGTTTAGCAGCCTCGCCTCTGTCAGTGCGCTCCAGGGCAGCTGTGGCTACATCGTAGCTCATCACCACCAGGTTATGAATGTGCGTGTGAATGGTTGAATGACTGTGTCGTGAAGCGCCTTGTGTGGCTGTAGAACCCTAAGCAGGTGCTATAAAAAACAGGCAATGCATTACTATTGCTACTTCATACCTCAGGCTTTAAAGGGTTGAGACATGATGAGAGGAGCTATGTCACCCCCCAGAACCCCCATTCCAAGTGCCAAGACATGCTTGTGCCATCAGCCCCCCCCCCCCCCCGCCAAGAAAAAAATGTCAGCATCCCAGGGTTTTTACCAAAGACCAGGTGAATGTAATGTACCAGCCGCACATTGTGAGTGTGACAGGAAGCCAGCAGGCTGTGTGTGCCCCCCACCTCTCTAGTGAACAGCAGGGCAGTGTCATAGTGCTCTGGATGCCTCTGGCTCGGTGGATTGAAAAGCTGCTGCCAAGAGCAGAAATTTCGAAGAGCCACACCTCCGTTGCTGGAGACCTGCGGTCCAACCTCCTCATCCTCCACGACCAAGATTTTCACCACCACCATGTTGACAGAGTTCTTAATGCTGGGGTGTTTGTACAGTTGAGCAGCCATGGACAGGAGGGTGAGAATATAATGCTGTAGAAAGAGAGGACAGTCAATGAGCTGATGTCTTAGATCAGCATCACATGCTGACCTGACCTGCTGTCTAAGCAAACATCTCCAAAAACAGCTGATGTTTGTAAATTTCATTTCCAAGCCTTGTTTTTAGATTATGCAGCCATGAATCTCCACAAAACAATTAATGTCCCTCTGCTAACCAAAGCAGCTATATTTTTATATCCCAACATGTCATTCTTGTTAACAGATCATCATAATGTGGTAGCTGGACTGTAGCACCCAACTCTTTATCTGATTATTACCATTTTGATGCTGGCTGACAAAGACACACAATGCCATTCAGAAATCACACTAATAGTTCCAAACAGATATTAGATCATTAAAAGGCTTTGCTTCTGGGCCTGCTGAATATTTTTATTTCATTCATGATCTGCATGGATGTTTATTTCTGACCAGTGAGAACAGAGTCCCCTCCTGGTCCCATCAATGTCGGCTGCATTCAGATGAGGATGGGAGGAAAACTGTGATTGGTCAGCACAGAAGTCTGAGACTGATGTTGGAGAAAATCCTTAAAACTGGAAAAAATATACAAGTCCTGCATTTAGCAGGTTTCCAGATATTCTTCTTTTTATTATTATTATTATTGTTGTTATTATTTTATTATTATTATTATTAATAATGTTGTTGTTGTTGTTGTTAATATTTCCAATGCATGAATGATAGGAGGTTTTCCTCATTTACTAAACATTGCTCACTTTTCCGACTGTAAACTGAATGATTTTCTTTTTTTTTTAACTCAGGATTTGCAGTTGGAGCTGAGGGAGATGGATTAGCGTGATGGTGAAGTGTAGTTATGGTTCAGAAAGGCTCCTGGAAGCAGGGACAAGGGGACAGCAGCAGAAATCTTTTCCATAAATTTGAAATGCTGGCCGATTTCTTTGGCCCTGACCAGGAGATGTCTCCCCAACTGTCTGAGACAATAAATCTAAACCCATAAATACTCTGGGATCGTGTTAAAACCGTGCTGCCAAAATCGTGACGAACTTTGAAAGCATGCTGTCCAGCATTTCGTGCGTTTTTCTTGCCTGAACTATTTTCTCAACCTGTGAGCCAACTGATTTCCGCCCGAGCCTCCTCACTGCCAAAGCTTCATGTTTTAAGAAGCAGTGGGTAAGAGGGGAAATAAGCCGTCTTCATGCTTTAGTCTGTAAAGTCGGACTAAACAGACGGTTTTGGAAAATAAAGAAAGGAGTGATGACGTCTGCGGCGCCTTGTGGAAACTTCCATATTTGTCTGAAGGTTCTGATTAGTGCAGGAGCTTATGTCACCTGACCTTTACTTCATCTCCATGGAAGTGGGTCATGGTTGCGTCCGCTACGGCCAGGGTTTCTATGAAGCGTGGCGCGGAAACGAAGCGTCTTCGGCGAGGTTCCCTCTGTGCGTCACTGTCGCTGTGCGTAAAAGTTTCCGTCCCGCGCACCCCCGTGCGTCTCTCCTCCTGAGAATCTCCATACCGGAGAGGAATTCCGAGGCTCTTAGCTAGTGTCCTCCTGTTGATGACATGCAGCTGCTCGGTAGAATCCGAACCCTGACCGTCACGGAATTTGGGTTCAATGAAATATTCTCTCCCCTCGGTGATGAACGAGCCAAAGAGGCCCGAGCACAAGCTGAGAGCCACCAGCGAGTTCTCATCTTGATCTACGTTCCCGGAGTAGAAGCAGCTCCTCAGGTGTCCTTCCCTCTCCTGAGTTTGGTTCATAAAGCTCCGGAGGTCCGAGCGCGCGGCAGCCTGAGCACCTGAGCCGCTGCGCAAAGCGCCTCCATCTTTGGCTGTGATGCGCTCCACGGTGAAGGAATGCGCCATGAAGCTGGTGTCTGGTATGAGGTTGAGAGTCATGTCTTTGCCAAACGCTCTGAGGCTGAAGCTCGGGTGCTCCTCGCTTCTTTTCCAAAAGCGGCGGTTAATTTTCCCGTTAATCCGAATGGGAACAACATCCTCCGATTCAAACGAGGCGACAAGTGCTGTGCTGAGAAAACAGAGGAGGAGACCCACACACGGATCCTGCATCCTGCACCTAAAACCGACTAGTACCATAAAGAACGACTGATAGACTGGATCCCTGTGAAGCTTATTCGGCTAAATAAAAAAGCAACTTCCGGTGCCGCGACGCCAGTCTGGGTTGAAGACCCGTTTATCTTCCGTCCGTTCTGATTCTCTCCAGCACAGCTGCAGCCTGGATTCATCCGGGGTATTTATACTTACGCTGTTCCCTTGGACATGGGGGGTGGGGGGTGGTATCCTCACTTGCTGGAAACTCTCCTCCCACTGGTACTTCAGTAGAAACGCGCGGATAAAATTGATCCAGTGAGGACAGACACCCCCCACCACCACCATCCGACAGCCGCTCCTATTATTAACCCAGCCGCTATACGGATGCGGCTACGTATACCTATAGTGCGCATAGTTGGAAGTCCGCCACCTGGGTTATTTTGGAGCCCCCACCCCCTTCCCCACGCGCAAATGCACGTTCCCCTTCCCAGGGTCAATCTGCTATCTCTCCAGCACATAACTGAGTGAGAAAAGCGCATCTGTCCGCAAATATCCAGTCACAATAGGAGCAATGCGCACATGAAACGTACATGTGAATTTATTTAGCCTTTCATTTTTTATTTAATATTTGAAGGGGTGCTCAGAAACGGTTTAGGGAGGATTTACACGTTTTAGGGTTTTTTCTGGTGCTTCCAAAATGGATAACCGCCATTCTCCTAGACCCAAGATTTTTTTTGGTGTGAAATTTGTTTCTTTTTTCTATTTTGGATTGTAAAACACGTATTGTTTCAAAATAAAACATAAAAAAGTTTAGCTAATAATTAATAAAATATCAAATTTATAAGGTTTTCACTTTAAATCAAGTATCTCTTAATAATCAGAACAACTAAGTGGGGCAAAAAAAATATTGGCGCAAGATGGCAAACTTCTTTGGATGATGAAGGTCCCAGAAGACTAGGCTCCATGTAAATTATTGAATCAAGACAAGAGAAGTAGATATGGGCATGAAGCCTAGACAACCAACTTAGTGCAGCTTAGCGGTTCAAACGGCAGGCGGCAGCAGAGAACAAGCTCATGGTGTTAGACGCGGCCAGTCAGGGCCAGGAGGTGGCGCTGTTTCTTCAAGTTCATGTTCAAATTAACAGTGAAAGAAAGAAAGAAAGAAAGAAAGAAAGAAAGAAAGAAAGAAAGAAAGAAAGAAAGAAAGAAAGAAAGAAAGAAAGAAAGAAAGAAAGTTTAAGTTTTCCAAAACACATACTCAGTAACTCTTGAGTTTGTGTGTTTTGTTTTCCCCCACAGCGGGAGGTGGAGAGGGAGGAGGGAGGAGTGGTGGTGATGCTCCAGCCCGTGTCCCTCATGCTGCATAACATTTACATAAAGACGCTGCAGCATCATGAGCTCAGATTTCACTTGACACCGATCGGCTGTGTTCATGCGCGACATAAAAACCCGGCGTAAAGAAGTTGGCCCAGACCGGAAAGGTGCAGGATGGAGGAGAAGCTGGGAGAAAGCTGAGGTGCATAACTTTTTAAAGGTAGCGTGAAGCTCAGCGCAGAGGGTGTCCCAGCAGGAGCAGGCATGGCTGCGCTTATTAGTTTGGAGACAATTTTTACCCAAGTCCTGATTCTTTTAAAAATCTCTAGTTGCATGGAGGTGGATTTCTGCATACCTGTTCGCGTTTATCCCCACAAGCTTGACACGCGTTCACACCGGAGTCTGGAGCAGACGAATGAAAAACAAGTTGTTTTCAGGCTGAGTGCCTTCAGACAGGAGTTTTCCCTCCAGCTTGTGCGGGATTCTAGTTTCCTTGCACCAGGCAGCAAGCTGCATGCTGCAGGAGAATCCCCGCAATCCTCTGATCTCAGGGAATGCTTCTACTCAGGAGAAGTCAACGGGAGCGCAGACTCTGTGGCTGCGTTCAGTCTGTGCAGGGGTCTGCAGGGGGGGTTTACCTATGACGGTATGGAGTACTCCATCAGTCCCATCGGCTCTGAAGATGCTACTCATGAAAATGGAAACCTTTTGGACAGAACGCACATCATCCGCCGTGCGAAGCAGTCTGAGAGCAACGTCACCAGCAGGTGCGGAGTTCCATCTGCCTCCAACATCAGCACCTCCCTGCACAAATACAAACACAGGCCCCAGGTTGATGAGTTAACTGAAACGGTCCTGAAATCCCTTGGGAGGTCCAAGAGGTTTGCCTCCATCCCCAGGTTTGTGGAGGTGCTGGTTGTGGCGGATGAGTCCATGGCCAGATTTCACGGGGACGACCTGAAGCATTACCTCCTGACGCTGATGTCAGTAGCAGCCAGGCTGTACAAACACCCCAGCATCCTCAACTCCATCAACATAGTGGTGGTTGGTTTCATGGTGATACACGAAGATGACAAGGGTCCTAAGGTTTCCAGTAATGCTGCTCTGACCCTGCGCAACTTCTGCTCCTGGCAGAAGAAGTTAAACAAATACAACGACAAGCATGCTGAGCACTGGGACACGGCCATTCTGTTCACTAAGCAGGTAGGTGGGGACGAGGAGCTGTCTGTGAAACGTCACTGGCCTTTCTCTTAGCTTTAAGCTGATCTGTGGCCTTATTAGTAATCTTTCATAAAGACCATAGTCTGCAGCATGCATGCAAAACTACTAATGTTGATTCTGCGCGTGTGCGTGCGCGCGCGTTTGTGTGTGTGTGTGTGTATCTGTGTGTGTATCTGTATGTGCGCATTTGTGAGTGTGCGCGTGTGCATATGTGCGCGCACGCGCGTGTATGTGCGAATTTGTGTGTGCGTGCGTGTGCATGTGTTTGCGTACGTGTGCGTGTTTGTGTGTTTGCGTCTGTGTGCATGTGTGTGTGTGTGTGTGTACTTGTATTTATAGGTTTATGTGGACAAATCTTTACTTTTAACCTGTAGTGTGTGGACATTTTCACATCGTGGGGACATCTGGCTGACCCACACAAGGACAACATACCCTAAAACGTGGTTTGAATTCACTTTTGTTTAGGTTAGGGTTAGGAATAGAACGGCATGGTTATGGTTAGCATGGACGTAATTTTCACTTTAGAAGTGGGGGGGACATGGAGGGGGGGGGGGGTATCTTTACAGTATGCTCTAATGGGAAACAGGCTTCAACACAAACGGTTGTTTTCCACTTGGTCCTAGAGCTCAACCAGTGTCAATTTAATATAGCGTAATATTGTTTTTGGATGGTAAAAAGTGCAGGGGTCAAAACTTGACTTTGGAAAAAGTGGGGGGGACATGTCCCCCCTGTCCCCCCCCCAAAATTACGTCCATGATGGTTAGACAAGGGATTCCCAAAGTGTGGTGCGCCCACCCCTGGGGGTGCGCGAGCTGCCGCTAGGGGGTGCGCGAGGTGAAAAGTGTAATGGCTGCGGAGCTTAGAGAAGTCTGTCAAAAGTCACCATTAGCGTAGCCAGAAACTCATTTGTGGGTGGGCCTAAGAAAATGTAAGTGGGCCCAATAAACGTAATTGAAAACAAGTATATTTTGCTTGTGTGTGTGTGTGTGTGTGTGTGTGTGTGTGTGTGTGTGTGTGTGTGTGTGTGTGTGTGTGTGTGTGTGTGTGTGTGTGTGTGTGTGTGTGTGTGTGTCCTCCGCACATGCCCTAGCTCAGGGGTCGGCAATCCGCGGCTCTGGAGCTGCATGCGGCTCTTCCATCCATCTGATGCGGCTCTCTGTGCTTGTAAAATAATGAATGGATATTTAAATAAAATGATTTATATTTTACTGCATAAATTTTACATCTGTATGCTAATTCTAAATGTAAAGATTGTCTGCGTAAACCTGAACAGGTCCAACCCGGTCTACTGTGTTACCGGGTTGACGCGTCACGCTTGTGCATAATCATATAGGCGCTTCCTGAGCTGAAGAGGATGTGAGATTCTGGGACTCTCCTCAGACGCCACATTGGAGACAGGAACAAGCACTATTCAGCCAAAGTTTCATCATTAGGGAACATTTTCTAAGTGACAAGTCTCTCTGAGAGACCGGGTTTGGAAAACTCTCGCTTCAGTGGAAGGAATCTTCCCACATGCGCTCTGGTTCTGCGATGCGCTCCAAGCCCCTCTCCACATCTTCAGCTCGCTGTGCACCTTATGTACGCGCTGACTGAGCGGTGTCCAGCTCAGATGTTCAGAAGGAAATCTTTTCTTGAGTGGTTTACTACATCTGCGATTTGCGAAACGAATAAAGTGTCAGTTTGTCTGCATGCGTTGGGGTAATTCTTTCTATTTTTTCTCCGTCAAAATAAACGGCCAAATACTGGAACTGTCCGGTTAACACAAGCCCTGCTTTTAACTGTTCTGTTTTCTTGTGAAAATTGTTACAAATTAAACTTGATTAACACCAGAGCCAGGTGCACTGCGCCGTTATCTCCGTCACTGTAAATGAGGGGAAAACAAAATGATCGGATGCTTTTCTGACCTTACCCACCTACAAAGTTTAATTACAACAATCAAACGTGACAGAGCCTGGATTTGTATTCTGAACAGTCTAAACATGTTTTAAAAAGAAACGTATGACAAAAGTGGCACCTGCTCAGTAAAACCACAAACAGGGTGAAAAATATCAAAATACTGTAGGCAGAGACGGGCTACAACTTCTGGATCCACTTTATACAAATCGTTTTATTGATTATCGTCTTATGAAAGATAACTTTGACGTACACGAGCGACCGGTACCGGCTGTCACCTGCTGTCTGAGGGTAGGCCCCGCCCACAACGCCGCGGCTGCTGCTGTGTTTTCTTTACTGTGGGAAACGGGTAATAATGGCTCTTTGATGGGAACAGGTTGTCGATCGTTGGTTTAGCGTGACATACATATATATATATATATATATATATATATAGCCATGCCCTGATGTGGGGGCTAAATAAGTTTGGGAACCACTGGGTTAGAGTATGGGTATGGGTTGGGCATCATACAGTCACAAAAATGAAATAAAAGAATGGAAGTCAATGGAGGGTCCACACAAGCATACAAATACAAGTGTGTGCACGTGTGTGTGTGTGTGTGTCTTCTCAATGTTTTTAGTATTTGCATAGTGATTTGGGATTTCCTGTTGGTGCAGCCTCTTGCACTCTTCTTTTCTTTGCTCCTTGTGAGTCACAGCAAAAGTGCATCATCTAGAAGAATTGGATGATTTTTTTTCTTGCAGAGGTATAGAAAGTGGTTCTGTGTCAATGTGCTAGACACCTTTGATCAATTTAAAAGAACCATTGTGCTGCTAAAGTGAGATCATTATCTAGGACACATTGAGCCTGCTGTCAGCTCAGCTGATGAGAGCTTGTAAATCTTTGTTCTCAACATACTTTGTCCTCACCACCGGCGTTGGATAAGGTTAAACATCAGTATGGTTTAATATGTACTTTGAACACAGCAAAACAATAGAAAAACGTTAATAAAGAACAATTTCTGTCTGAACCATAAACGCTGAAACAGAGAGCAAACATGTAATGCACAGAACTAACAGGGACCCTGACATGATCCAGCCAGTGGCTGTTAGAGTGGTCAGACTGACATGGTCTTATTAAATCATCTAGAATAATTTCACACTTTCTTTAAAGTGATGAACATGTTCCAAGTTTATGTTTCTTTTTGACGTCTCAGAAAGAAAAACTAAATCAGGCTATGTTCATAAGCAGTAGTATTTATCCATCAAATCTTCTGCAATGTTCTGTTGCTGCTGCCAGGTGTGTTCCAGTCTCAGGTGAATGACTGGCTCCTGTCCATGCTAGAATGACCAAAACCACCATGCTGGGTGACCTTTAACAACTCCTGGGTGAGGATTGGGATGGCATTCCACAGAAAGATGGGACCAGACTGGTAACCAGCATAAAGAGGAGGAGCCAAGTTGTTGTGGCTGTGTATGGATCTTCCAGATGCCACTGAGGCTCCTGACTGGAAACTATTTTGACAAAGTGTAAACAGGACATGTGTGTTCCAGCTACAGGGGATCACACACCCTGGTAAGGTCTATTCAGGGGTTCTGGAGAGGAGGGTCCGGCGGATTGTTGAACCTTAGATTCAGGAGGGGCAATGTGGTTTTCATCCTGGCCGTGGAACACAGAACCACTATACCCTTAGGGAGTCCTGGATGGTGTGTGGGAGTTTGCCCAACCAATCTACATGTGTTTTGTGGATTTAGAGAAGGCGTTCAACCGCATCCCTTGGGGGACCCTGTGGGAGTATGGGGTACCAGGCCCTCTGATACAGGCTGTTGTCCCCGTATGACCGGTGTCAGAACTTGGTCCGCATTACCGGCAGTAAGTTGGGCTCGTTCCCAGTGAGAGTTGGACTCCGCCAAGGCTGCCCTATGTCACAGATTCTGTTAAAAACTTTTATGGACAGGATTTCTAGGTGCAGCCAAGGTGTTCAGGGGATCCATTTTGGTGGATGGACCAGGTCTCTGCTTTTTGCAGATGATGTGGTCCTGTTGGCTTCATCAGAAAGTGATCTCTGGCTTTCGCTGAAGCAGTTTGCGGCCAAGTTTGAAGCAACTGGGATGAGAATTAGCTCCACTAAATCAGAGATGTGGTATTGAGTCGAAAAAGGGTAGAAGCTCTCGATTTACTGGTCGATTTATGCTCCTACCCTCACCTATGGTCATGAGGTATGGGTAGCTGGACTTTCTCTTAGAGATAGGGTGAGAAACTCGGTCACCTGGGAGGAGCTCAGAGTAGACCCGCTGCTTCTTCACATCGAGAGGAATCAGCTGGGGTGGCTCAAGCATCTAGTTAGGATGCCGCCTGGACACCTCCCTGGTGAGGTTTTCTGGGCACATCCAACCAGGAGAAGACCTAAAAGAAGACCCTGATCATGCTGGAGGGACTACGTATCCTGGCTGGCCAGGGAACGCCTTAGGCCTCACCCAGAGGAGCTGGCCTAAGTGGCTGGGGAGAGGGAAGTCTGGGACTACTGCCCCATCGACCCGACCCTGGATACGTGGCTGAAAATGGATGGATGGATGAATGTGTGTTTTTCCTGATTAATTTGGGAATGTTCAACCATCCAGTCCACCTAGGAACTCAAATCAAGAGTGAACACCAACAGGAGAATATTACATCAGGGTTTGAGGAGGATTTTTTAGGGGTTCTATACACATGTTTAGCTGTGCTGCTCATTCTTTGAAAGCACAATTCTTACAAGTTGCACTAAAGGTGAACTAATCATGTTTTCCAGTAAGATCAGATTTATTACCAAGAAGCATTACAACAGATAAATGACCAATCAAAGGCAAAAGTCTTTACTTTTTAAGTTTATACAACTTTTACAAAACATAACGTGTCATTACATTTATAGTTTTAATATCCTTGTTGACACATTTGTACACAACTTGGTAGCCAATGAAGCTGCACTTAAAGGCCAATACTTAGAAAGAGGCTACATTTGACATCAAACAGATGATATGTGCTTCGTTTGAACAGACAATGAGCAGACCACAGTCTCTTGTATTTTTGGTGAGACTTTCATGGACTTCCTGTTTAATAAAACATGGCAACATTTCACCAAACATGCCTGGGCCATGGCTAAAAGCCAGTCAGATGTCTTTTATCTGTCTCCGTGTCACCAGGACCTTTGTGGGGCTACAACCTGCGATACCCTTGGGATGGCTGACGTAGGGACCATGTGTGACCCGAAGAGAAGTTGTTCTGTTATTGAAGACGATGGATTACCCTCTGCTTTTACAACTGCTCATGAGCTTGGTAAGAGAGCTGTTTGTGGACTGGATATATATTTACCAAAAGCAAGAGCTCAAGTCAGTCTCTGAAAACCACTTGTTTTTGATGCCAAAGATATTTTGCAGCATATATTCCTGCTTAATCAGTAAAGAAAATGCTCTGAAACATTCAAGATAAGTGTTACTGTAGTTATCAGAGTGCATTACAGCTGCAGAGTTTCAGTCCTACAAGCTGTTTATTTCACTGTGTTCCATTTGTAATTCATTCTATTTAATAGAGGTGTGTGTGTGTGTGAGAGTGTGCCTGCATGCATGTGTGTGTGTGCGCACCTGCATGCATGTATGTGACTGTGTGTGTGTGTGTGTACCTGCATGCATATGTGTGCGTGTGTGTGTGCCTGCATGCATGTGTGTGCTTGTGTGTGCGTGTGTGTGTGTGTGTGTGTGTGCATGTGTGTGTACCTGCATGCATATGTGTGTGTGTGCCTGCATGCGTGTGTGTGTGTGTGTGTGTGTGTGTGTGTGTGTGTGTGTGTGTGTGTGTGTGTGTGTGTGTGTGCGTGCATGTGTGTGTACCTGCATGCATGTGTGTGCTTGTGTGTGTGCGCGTGTGATTGTGCCTGCTTGTGTGTGTGTGCTTGTGTGTGTGTGCATGTGTGAGTGTGCCTGCATGCATGTGTGTGCTTGTGTGTGTGTGTGTGTGTGTGTGTGTGTGTGTGTGTGTGTGTGTGTGTACCTGCATGCATGTGAGTGCTTGTGTGTGCTTGTATGTGTGTTCGTGTGTGAGTGTGCCTGCATGCATGTGTGTGTTTGTGTGTATGTGTACCTGCATACATGTGTGTGCTTGTGTGTGCATATGTGTGTGTGTGTGTGCCTGCATGCATGTGTGTGCTTGTGTGGGCATGTGTGTGTGTGAGTTTGTGTGTGGATGACATCATAGCTGCAACATGTTTCTTTGCTCAACAGCAAAGCTGAAGCTTGGAATTGAGAAAAATGGTTTATTTGAAGGGATTTACATGAATTCATAAACTCACTTCTTAAATGTTTTAACCTTAAACTGGCAAGTCAACAACTTTGTTTCTTTGAAGGGAGCACACTTAATTGGGGTAAAAAATCTACAAAAAAATAAAAATCAAAGTTGTGATGTTTGAACAGAACAATGAACTTCACAACATTAAAGAAAAACACAAACAAAAATGAAGATCTTTTTCCTTAAAGGCTTAGAAGATGAAGACAAGAAATGTGCTTAACTTTCAACATCTCCCTGCAAGTTTTGTTAAGGCGTTCTGTTGGGATTTCGGTCTTACTGTCACTTTTCAAGCTAACGTTAGCAGTTTGTGGTCTATCAGCTCTAAGGCGAGGTACAGTCTGATGTAAAGTCTCCAACAACCTGTTTGAAGATAATTCAATTCAATTCAATTCAATTCAATTCAAAAATACTTTATTAATCCCAGAGGGAAATCGATTGCTGTAGTAGCTCAGAATAATAATAATAATCAAGTCATCAAAGAGTTTTTGTATAGACCCTTTTACTGTTTGTAAACAATATGACGTCAGCGAGAATGCGCGCGCAGCTTGGCAACAGAGAATGGTGTTGTGTCAGGCTTTATCAAGCTACGCTGCGGGGTTATCACCGGCAAATCTTGAATGTTATATTATTAAACTCACTTTAACGAATGGCAACAGACTCCCGGATCCCTGTGGCATTACGGAATGGGTGGAAGATGTAGGTGCGTGGCCAGATATCCAGTGGCCCGATATGTATACGTTTTTAGTGGAGAGGCCCAGTAAGTACACACGTGAGAAGCTACGGGCATACAAATCGTTAGATGCATACAACTATGTTGTCTGTGGCCACGTACAGAAAGTAAAATATCACGACATAGACTCTGAGTTTTGCGTCTTGAAGGCAGAAGTTCTTCCTAGCCAAAGACAAGGACACAAGACTGCTATGTACGAGGCTTGGGTCATAGTAAACAAACCAGAGAACTACGTCTTCACAGCCAACTGTACCTGCATGGCAGGGTGAGTATAGCATCGGTTTCTTTTTTTAGCGAGCTCAGAGTACAGTCGTGTTAATTTGAGAGAAATACAGTTTATACTAATATGCAGTGTAAATAAATGTAAATAAATAGACTGCTTAAAAGCAAACCAGCAAACACAACTTACTTTATTTAATAGAACACACGTTAACCAGCTTTCTGGTGTAATCTTAGTACATAATTACCTTACCTGATATAAAATGGGCGCTACAAACTCGAGTTTTTCGGATCGTGTTTTCAGTCCAGTTTTCATCAACCCTTTTGATGGCCTGCAGCCACAGACGCCTCCATTTTGTTGAAATGGATGTGCTCCCTTTGGAATTCTGTAAAGTTTCAGTCCACTGCTTGAAGAGAAGCGATTCTGGCATCCATACACGCAACAATCCGACACTTTTATGTGCTCAGAACTTCAAAACAAAGGGTTTAAAACGCTGTTTTAGTATCGAGTGTGAATGAGGAAGCCTTCACTCTCGTTGCCAGGCTGCACGCGCAACTTTTGATGACGTAGGTAGTAAAAGGGTCTATATTACAATGGCTGTTGGCAGGAAGGATCTCCAGTAGTGGTCAGTGTTGCAGCGAAACTGAAGAAGCCTCTGACTGAAGACACTCTTCCAATGTCGGACAGTCTTGTGAAGAGAATGCTCAGGGTTGTCCATAATTTTCTTGATTCTCTGGAGAATCCTTCTTTGCATTCTCTCCTCCAGTGGTTCCACAGTCATCCCCAGAACAGAACCAGCGTTTTTTATTAGGCTGTTGAGCCTTTTCAGGTCCCTGCTTCTGATGCTGCTACCCCAACAGACGATGGCTGAAGAGATTACACTCTCAACAACAGACTTGTAGAAGATCTGCAGCATCTTGCTACAGACATTGAAGGACCTAAGCATCCTCAAGAAGTGCAGTCTGCTGTGTTCCTTCTTGTAAACAGCTTGGCTGTTCTTTCTCCAGTCCAGTCTGTTGTCCAGGTGAACTCCAAGGTATTTGTGTTCCTCAACCACCTCCACTTCTTCTCCCATGATGGAAACAGTGTTTGACTGCACCCTGTTTCTTCTGAAGTCTAAAATCATCTCCTTTGTTTTGTTCAAGTTCAAGGTCAGATGATTGTTTCCACACCATGCCACAAAGCGCTCCACCAGCTCTCTGTACTCAGCTTCATGTCCATCTCTGATTCACCTGACAACTGCAGTCATCTGAGTATTTCTGTAGATGACAGGTCTCTGATTTGTACTGGAAGTCTGAGGTGTACAGGGTGAAAAGAAATGGTGAGAGTACAGTCCCCTGTGGTGCTCCAATGTTACTGATCGCCTGGTTTGATGTGCAGTTCAGCCCCACAAACTGTGGTCTGTTACTCAGGAAGTCTTTAATCCAGGCAATAGTTGAGGTCCCCACCTGTGTCTTCTGGAGTTTCTGGCAAAGTACATCAGGCTGGATTGTGTTAAATGCACTGGAGAAATCAAAGAACATGACCCTGACAGTGCTGCCTGCTTTGTCCAGATGACAGTGGGTTGGTTGAAGCAGCTGGATGATGGCATCTTCAACTCCACCTCCATGGCGATAAGCAAACTGCAGCGGGTCCTGATATGTTCTAGTTTGCTTATTCAGGTGGACCAACAGGAGTCTTTCCAGGACCTTCATGATGTGGGATGTCAGGGCAACCGGTCTGTAGTCGTCACTGACTGATGGGCGAGTTTTCTTTGGAACTGGAACAAGGCAGGATGTCTTCCACAGGACTGGAACCTTCTCCTGGGCCAGGCTGAGGTTGAAGAGGTGCTTCAGAATCCCACAGAGCTGCTCTGCACATGCCTTCAGTACTCTGGGGCTGACACTATCTGGACCTGCAGCCTTGTTCCTGTTCAGTTTCTCCAGCTGCCTCTTCACCTGACTTCTAGAGACAGATAGGTGGGAGGGGGAGGTAAATGGGGCAGCAGCATCTCCTGACTTGGTTGAAGACAGATTTATAGAACCAGAAGAGTCCATGACTGCGTTAGAGGACAAAAGAGCTGGCATGTGACATGAAAATGTTGGATCAGAGGAGGATGGGATGTCTGATTGGCTGGGGACAGGCGAGGAGGATGCTGGGTTTGTTCCTGAACTGAACCTATTGAAGAACTTGTTCAGTTCATTGGCTGTGTCCAGGCTGCCATCTGTGCAATCCTTCCTCTGCTTGAAGCCTGTGATCTTCTTCATCCCTGACCAGACATCTCTGATATTGTTCCTCTGTAGTTTGTTCTCCAGCTTCTTCCTGTATGCCTCCTTGCTGTCTTTGATCTCGATCTTCAGTTGCTTCTGTATACTCCTCAATAATTCCCTGTCTCCCTCCTTGAAGGCTCTTTTTTCTCATTTAGCAGATTCTTCAGTTCACTGGTGATCCAGGGTTTGTTATTAGCAAAGCATCTCACTGTTCTGGTGGGTATGATGTTGTCCACACAGAAGTTTATATAGTCAGTGACACATCCAGTCATGGCATTGATGTCCTCTTTATATCCTTGGCAGAGAGTCATCCAATCTGTGGTCTCAAAACAACTTCGCAGGGCTTCTTCAGCGTCCTGTGACCATTTTCTCACAGTTGTTCTTGTCACAGGTTGCCTCTGAACAAGTGGTTTGTATTCCGAGCAGAGAAAAACAAGATTGTGATCTGATTGTCCCAGAGGAGGTCTTGTTTGGACATGTATGCATCTTTTACATTTGCATAACACAAATCAAATGTCTTGTTTTCTCTGGTGGAGCAGCTGACAAACTGTTGAAATGTTGGAAGTGTAGCAGAGAGCGAGGCATGATTAAAATCACCGGATATGGCCACAAATGCATTGGGGTGCTGGGTTTGTAGCTTAGCCACAACGGAACTGATGGCATCACATGCATTTTCAGCAATGGCTGAAGGTGGAATATAAACGGTTGCCAAGACAACACTGGTGAACTCTCTTGGCAAATAAGTTTACATTGTTTCAGGTCAAAACTTTTTCCTTGAAAGCTTCATTTCTTCTCAACAAGTGGAGGTTTCTCCGTTGCTCCTACAGCTGAAGATGAAGTTATTTGTCTCATCTGAAAATGTTATTGTGTTTGAAGTACTACCCAGTTGTTCTTCAGCAAAGCCTTTTTCAACATGCTAATCTTCTCAGTTTGTACACAGGTGTGAAATAATTCCACATTTTCAAAACAGGTTCAAATGTATGTTTTTTTCTCACATTTCATTCCTGTTGGGAGCTCTAAACATCCAAGATTCCTGACACGGCTCAGTCATTCAGTCTTGGCACTGTTTGTGGGGTATTTAAACCCATCTCTCACCAATTCTTACTTCTGCATGCTTGTTTGGGATTGTGTTTATCTCTGTACATTGTGGTTTTGATTAAATGCTTTCATATTTATTTGTCATTACCAAAGCCCAGTTGTGCCTAATCTAATCATATCACACAGGAAAAGAGCTTCTTGTTTCTGTCAGAGACGTGACTCGGTTGTGTCTTTCCTTCTGCAGGACATGTCTTCAACATGCCCCACGACAACGTAAAGGCGTGTGAGGAGGTATTTGGGAAACTGAAGGACAACCACATGATGTCTCCCACACTGATTCAGATAGACGGGAGTCGACCCTGGTCGGTGTGCAGTGCAGCCATCATTACGGAGTTTCTGGACAGAGGTCATGGTTAGTCAACACTTCCTGTAAATGTTTCTGAACTCGGATGTGTGACTGAACCAGTTCATTTACCAGAGGGTTTCAATCTGATGTCACCCAGTAAAATGAAACTCTGTTTCTATTTAATCACAATTTCCCTGAACTTGACTGAGTGGGTACGACTAACTAATTAAACAGGCAAACCTGGGTTTTCACGCTGTCCTAACCAGAGGTTATACACATTATTTCTGCTCCAATTGCCATAACTGACTGCCAATATCCTAAAGAATGACAGCAAAAGTCTTGATTAGATCCATTTTCCAACCATTTCTACCCTCTTATCCGAGTCCTGATTGTGGGGTTAGTGGTTCCAGCTGAGAGGCCCAAACCTCCGTTTTCCCTGCAACTTCCACCAACTCCACCTGCAGGTTCTCCAGGTGTTCCCTGGCCAATGTGGAGTCTTAATCCCTTCAACTTGCCCTGGGTGGACCTGAGGGCCTCCTGCTGGCAGAACATGCCTGAAACATCTCTACTGGAGGCACTCACAACCAACAGCTGACCCACCTCAGCTAGCTCCTCTCGACATGTGGAGCAGCAGCTCTACTCTTAAGTCTCTCGCAAGTGTCCAAGCAGAACGCCACATCAGCTGTCAGCTTTGTGTCATCATCCCTCTATGCAGGTCTTTGTGCAAAGAAGACCAGGAAATGAATGTTTAGCTTCATATCACAGTTCCGCACACAACGAGCAGCAATGGTGCATCTGATGATTGTGAATGTTGGGTTTCCTTTGCAGGAGACTGTTTATTGGACCAGCCACAAAAGCAGCTTTTGCTCCAGGACAACCTGCCTGGCTCCAGCTACAGCCTGCACCGTCAATGTGAACTGGCCTTCGGCTCAGGCTCCAAGCCCTGCCCCTACATGCAACCCTGCTCAAAGCTGTGGTGCACGGGGAAGGCTCGTGGACAGATGGTGTGTCAAACCCGACACTTCCCCTGGGCAGACGGCACAAGTTGTGGCAATGGCAAGGTCTGCTACAGAGCCACATGTGTGGATAAGAACAACACAGTACACATCAAGGTGAGACAGTAGAGAAAGAAAGAGCATGGCTCCAAACATATTTGGTCCTTTTTAGGTCTGGCTAACCTTTATCCACGTTCTTTTCTCTGGGCTAAGGTGGATGGCCAGTGGGGAAAGTGGGGTACATTTGGGGAGTGTTCACGAAGCTGTGGAGGTGGTGTTCAGCTGGCCAGACGGGAGTGTGACAATCCTGTCCCAAGGAACGGGGGGAAATACTGCTATGGCCTTCGCGTCAGACACCGTTCATGTAACCTCACCCCCTGTCCTGAAACAGGTAGGACCACTTCCAACACAACCTCAGCAGCCATCACTCTTCATTTAAAACACATTTAATCGAATTAAATAATTGGATAATTTTTACCTTTAAAGGTTGAATAAGGATCACTGACACCAAATTTGGGTCCATCTGTTGTAGGCTTCACCTAAACTCACACTGGTTTTAGATCTTTTACGGTCGTTCCTCTTCTGAGAAGCATAACGACATCTTCTGGCCTCAGAAGTAGCTACTTGACTTGCTGAGTCCGCCATTTTTCAGTGCAAGCCTCGCTGCGCCGACCAGACTATTTACCGTATTTGGCGACATGCAATGGTGCCCTCTACTGTCTGGTAGATGTAAACATGAACCCAGTGTCATGCCTGTAAAATAAATATTTCATTTTTTAATGTAAAAAATAGCTTTTAAATGAAATACTACACCTTCATTCTGAACACCTCTACATGCCCCATGCATATAATAGCTTTTTATCAAATTGTTCCATGTTCAACCTTTAATTAAATACTGAATTTAACATCCTTGTGATTTGCTAAAGAACAATCTTCCATAAACACCAAAATCAAAATGAACAACAAACGTTTGCAACATCTCGTCACGAGTTTAAGTGGCGGACCCGTAAGAAACACCCACAGAATGACACGTTTTAGGAATGTTTATTAAAAGGGGGAGGCAGAGACTAAGTCAGGAGACAGGCGGTCGTTACCAGAAGATCTGTGGTGGCAACTGTCCGATAGGGGAATCCAATAATCCAGGTCGGGGACGAAGCAGGGTAGGAGCCAGAGGATCAGAGAAGCTGAGGAGCTGAGGTGCAGAATGCCAGTAAGGGAGATCCGAAGACGAGGCCGGGGATGAAGGAAGGATAATCCAAGGTGGACACAATGAGAAGGGAGGTCAAAGGACGAGGCAAGGTTCAGGATCTATGATGGCAAGGTGAGTTACAAGGCTGGAGAATTTACTAGCAGAGCGTTCAATAATCTGGCAGGGAACTGGTGGCTGGCTAGTGAATATATAGCAGGGGGAGCAGGTGTGTGTAATGAGCTGATGGCAGGAACAGGTGAGATGGATGAAGATGATGAGGTGCTGACTGGGGTTGTTGTGGAAACGGGGCATGGCAGGAACAGGAACATGACACATCTGTTTAGTTTATCTCACTTTGTTTGTCCTGGTAAGAAGTAATGTATTGACCCGAATACAGAACAACCCCGATTATAAGACGACCCCCCTTTCCAAGACAAATCTTCAGGAAAAAAAAAAAAACTTTTTAAAGAAACTAATTATATTGAAAAATTGAGAACAAATACTGAGCAAAAATATTTTTATGCAAACTGTCAGAACTTTTGCTAACATGTGAATTCAAAAGTTAAATGAGACTTTTATTCTGACGCCCTCTGCCTTGCGTTACTCACTCATTCATGCTGCTGCGGTCCCGGTGTACCATCAGATCGCTACACCTGCTGACTCCTCCCAGAACTTGATCCTCACTGCCATCAAAGACATTCATGCATGCAATGTTTGACATCTCTGCAGAATTGACCATCATCTTAAAATTCGCATAACTCTGCCTTAGTAGCTTGTTACCTTACCCCACTTTCGGTCCACTCTGCACTGGACCTCTTGTCTCTCGGCTCCATCCAGCCTGACGCCCTCTGCTGTTTCAGGCGTGTAATGACCCCAGACAAATTTCAGCATGTGTGAATGCTTATGCCCAGAACACACCAGCTGCAAAGTAGATCGCTCACGAAATTCGTGCGCTGCCCGTTGCTCTTCTGTTCACAGCAGGCAAGAGTTTCTGACGAGCGCTTCTGCTCACGTCTACTCTCTGCCAGAATTGACATGGCTCACTCACGGCTCATGAAATAATTAGAGCTTACGCTGAAACGATCGCTGCACGGCGCAAGCCTTCATAGCGCGAGCCTTCCTGGTGCTTCGCAGCTGATGTAAATGAAAGCGTAGGTTAACAAGGGCACCGATTAGAAGCGCATCGTTGCGCTTCCGCGTCTGGTGTGTTCTGGGCGTTAGACCCCAATTACATTTGGGTCAATACGGTAATGTGTTTGTTTTGGTATTAATAGAGTTGTTTAGGAAAAGTACTTTTAGATTCGTAGAAAACCAGCAGCAACGTAGGGAAAAAGTTAGATTTCAGTTCACATTTTTGGACGGTATGATTCATTTAAAACAATTTATTGAAACAAAACCCAACAATAGTGGTGAGTAGTAAAAAAAATTGTCAATGTCTCAGCAACTTGTGGGGGCCTTCAGCATCAGTTACAGCTGGTCAACAATGTCTCATGGTATTCACAGTTGTGCTGTGCATGGCATCTCTCTTAAAGCCATACTTTGCTACTTTTTCATATGTTTAAATCATTTTCTTCAGCCAGTATGTGCTAAAATAGCCCTTTATAAGGTTAACAAAAGGCCACCGAGCCTCAATCACCCCTGTGGCCACTATTCAACTTGCAGCTGCAGACTGGTGGGCCGCTCTGTTGGGACTAAGGAAATTTCAGCTGACATACCTGGCGCTGCAGTCTGATTTCAGCACGTTTCCTGCATGTTTTAGATCACAAACAGCTGATTTCTGTGATTTAGTCATGACTCCCTCCTGTAGACACTAAGGAAGGCTGTGGAAATTTTTCAGCTGTTAGAAGGTGTTAAAAAGAAGAACGCACAGCTGGAAGATATATTTTGCTTTCCGTTCTGCAAACGGACACTAAGGGGTGCTAAAAGCACGCAAAAACTGCCTAGTTCTGCTTTACGGGTGGCCCTTGAGTCATTGAGGTTATAGGGTACAGAATCATAAGCCTTGACATGGTGACTCAGCTGATCCCATGAGTTTTCCATTGGATTCAGGTCTGGATAAAGTACAGGCTACTCGATTTGAGCTTCCCCAGTCTTCAGCAGCTGTTCCCTAATAAAGCCTCATTGATGATCTGGAGCATTGTGGTACAAGAAGATGAAATCAGGGCTTGTGTTGTTGGTGCATTTGGCACTACAACGGAATTAATGATATTAGACAGGTAGTATTGGCTTGTGACAGTGCCATTCACCAAGAGTAAGGCATTTCTGTATTGACTAGACACCTCAATCAATCAATCAATCAATCAAAGCTTTATTTATAAAGCGCCTTCCGCAACCCTGTCAGGAACCCCAAAGCGCTGAACATGGTACAGTTAAGTAAATATATTGAATAAATCAACAATAAAAGAAATTCAAATTACAAAATACAAATTACAAAATACAAAATGGAAATTACAAGATAGATGAAACATTCTGGTAAAGGACAAATGTGTGAAACACATTTGGATTGAGTGGATGGATTGAGTGTACCAATGAAAACTGTGGAATGGATTCAACATAAAAGAGGGCCAAAATCAAACATGTTCTGGAAACGCCAAGCGGAGGAGGTGTGTTTTAGGTGATTCTTAAAGACTGGCAGAGAAGGGGACAGCCTAACTGAGGGTGGCAACTGGTTCCAGAGTGACGGTGCTAGGACCGAGAAAGCCCGGTCCCCACGGGTACGACACCTAGACCGAGGGACAGCGAGCAGGCCTTGGTCAGAGGAGCGCAGAGCGCGTGATGGGGAGTGTCTTTTCAGGAGTGTGGCTAGATAGGGGGGACCACCACCCTGGAAGAAATGATAAACAAAGACGAGGATTTTGAATTGTGAGCGATAGCAAATCGGAAGCCAGTGCAGAGAGGCCAGAACCGGACTGATGTGGTCCCGTTTCCTGGTCCCAGTCAGGAACCTGGCAGCGCTGTTCTGCACAACCTGTAGGCGACGCAGTGTTGACTGACACAACCCTGCATATAGAGAGTTGCAGTAGTCAAGCTGAGAAATAACAAAGGCATGCAGTACCCGCTCCAGGTGGGCTCTCGACAGCATAGGCTTGATTTTAGCAAGGCGTCTCAGGTGAAAGAAACTGGACCGGACCACAGAATTGATGTGAGCGTCAAATTTAAGTCCTACATCAAGTTTCACCCCCAAACTGGTAACAACTGGTTTTGAGTATGGAGAAAGAGGGCCAAGATCAGCATAACGATCCACATTCCTGCTGTTGGGGTGAAAAACAATGAGCTCTGTCTTTCCCTCATTCAGATGTAGATAGTTGGACATTAGCCAAGACCTCACCTCATTAACACAGGAAACAAAGGACTGGATAGAGAGACCTTTCTCCTGACACAATGGAGAGTAAATCTGGCAATCGTCAGCATACAGATGGAATGATAGGCCATGTTTACGAAAGATTGACCCCAGAGGTAGCAGATAAATGGCAAACAAAAGAGGACCAAGGATCGACCCCTGCGGGACCCCCCAGCGGAGCCCCTCCCAAGAAGAAAAAACATCACCCAGTTTAACACAGAATGTCCGGTTTTGGAGATACGATCTAAACCAATCCAGAGCTGACCCTTTGATCCCAACCCATCGTTCCAAGCGATCGAGTAGAATCGCGTGGTCAACTGTGTCGAAGGCTGCTGTCAGGTCTAACAACAGAAGCAGCACAGATGTACCCTGATCTAGTGATAGATAGATGTCATTTAGGACCCTCAGTAGAGCTGACTCTGTGCTATGGCCAGACCTGAACCCTGATTGGAAAACCTCAAACAGATCAGAGTCAGCTAAATGTGAGACCAGCTGCTGATAAACGACTTTCTCAAGCAGTTTAGATGTAAAGGGCAGGGTAGAGATAGGCCTGTAGTTTTCTATCACAGAGACATCAGCACCAGGTTTCTTCAGGGTCGGCCGAATAACTGCTGCTTTCAAAGCAGCTGGGACAACACCTGTGCTGAGGCTCCCATTGATAATCTGACCAAGTGAAGGGCCAAGGCACGGAAAGGCAGCCTTCCAGAGACGAGGTGGCAGAACGTCAAGTGGAGAGCCAGATGGCTTCTGTCTCGCAACTAGCTTACTCAGCTCAGAGTATGAAACTGTATTGAGGGAGCTCAGGGTGGGTGGTGATGGATGAACTGGAACAGGGTCAACAGAGTTACCTGAAATGACTGCTCTAATGCCTGATACTTTATCAACAAAGAATTTGTGAAAAGCTTCAGAGTTTCCAGCAGCTGGCCATAGTCACACCAACAGACAATGGTGGCTCATGCATCACACTTTGTTTTATGTTTCCAACATTGTTGGCGGCCATCATTTCTGCTCAGCATGAATCCACTTCAGTGATTAAGATGTTAAGAAGATGAACACACACTAGCCACGTTTACATGCGCATATTTAATCGGATTGAATGCCCATTCAGATTGAAAATTCTGCATGTAAACATGTCAATCAGAATATTCTGATCCGATTCGGCCCGATCGGATTGAAATTTCAATCCGATTGAGAGAGGTGGTTTATTCCGTTCTTCATTCCGATTGACGTGCATGTACACAGCCATTCGGATTGTTGGGGTAAAATAATGCCCACTGCGCATGTGTGCAACAGCCAGCGGGCCTCTCCGCTGTCATTTGGACTGCCTGACTTCAAAAATGACAGCGTAATTAACGAGCGGCAGCTTTTAAATCCAACGACAAGACGTCCCGTTTCAGTAATATTTAATTCAGAACTTGCATTTTGTGGAAGTAAAATAAAAATCTGATTATTGCACAAATCATTCGACAAAGATGTTCAAATCTGTACTGGAAATACGCGGGTTTATCGTGGGGGTTGCAGCGCACGGATCCCCGTTTCTGTCAGCTTTGAACACAGCAGCTTCTGCAGCAGGTGATGGAGACGCGCTTGTAAAGAACACAGGATAATCTGGGTTTTACAGACCTGATTGGAGGCTGATGTTGGGTAGAAAAACGTCCTCGGTTAAATACTCTGGACGACAGTAAAGTCCATGTTAAAAGCACGTAAACGCAGATGACCTGAGATGCGGTTCGTTAATGATGAACACAGGCTTCTAAACTTTCTGAACATCTTCTGTTATTTTGTTTGAACAGATTTTTCTCAACAGTTTCAGCTGATCGTCACATGTTATTAATAATAAGCCACAACAGAGCTCAGTAATAAAACATGAGGCTAACCCCCCCACCCCCCACCCCCGCTCTGTGGCGCAGCGCTGCGCAACAGCTGTCAATTCAGACCTGCGGACCAGCTGATCAAGAGGCAGACATAACCCTCCCTTATTTTAATCAACAATAAAATGCAGCAAAGCATATATCTGCAGTTATTCACTGAAGAAAACGTAACTTCTATGAGCTAAATAAAAATATTAAATTGAATAAATGGATCAGGAAAGCAGGAAGAATGGTTATTTCTGTTTTTACATTTTTCTTTTCGTTTCATGGCGTTTGTTTACAATTTTTCTTTCGTGAAAGGCAACTCTGCGCATGCTCAACCTATTTAATCGGATTAAATGCTTGGTGCATATGTACGCACGGCATGATCGGATCATTTCAGTTCGTGTCCATGTGAACAGAGATTCGGAAATTCCGATCAGCCAAGATTTCAATCGGATTGAGGAAATTTGCCACATGAAAACGCAGCACTGCTGAGTGGACCTCAGTAAACCGCACTGGTCCCCGTAAGATAATGACGACTGTGCCTGGTGGTGTGGTCAGGTACACTTGTGGCCATCTAGCACACAGATCACACTGATGTTAAAACAATTTGCAGTGTCTGAAGTGACACTTGGGTGTCATTCACCTCCCTAAAATGAGCCTGGAGTTGTGTGGCATTCATTGTCTGGTTCTACAGGACAATTTCCACAATACAGTGGTCATTAGAGTAAGATTTGGCCAAAGGAAGTCCACTTTTATGCATTTTGTATCTCTGTATCTCTTTTGTAACCTGCCGATGAAACTTTGGGACGCTAAACTCAGGGACCAGTTCCCTCTAAGAATATCCTGTTTGAATCCTTGCAGTGGTGAAGTGTTGATCATTTGTTAGGTGTGGTCTTGGTCCCATGATGTCAAAATGGGAGCAGCATTGCAAAGAGGACTATTTAAATACCAATGATAATCGAGCCAGGAAATGTATTGATTTTGTATTGATCAAACACCTGCTGTGAATTTTGCTGTTGAGCTTCTTGCAAGAGAACAGCAAGTGATGTAGAACGTACAGAAAGCTATAACAGCTGGATGGGTACATTCTTCTGTTAAGAGATGTTCACACAAGTTCACCTGTACAGGTTAGAGTGCATTTCAGGTTCATTCAGATATTATCCAATTATCCCTAACTTCTTTAACTGGTTTTAAAACTGTGAATATTCAGACACCTCACTTGGAAAACCTTTTGCTGCTCTCAGCTCCTCACGCTTGAAGATGAAAGGGGATCGGGCTTTCTCAGTAGCAGGCTCAAAGTTATGAAAAGAGTTTCCTCAGTTCGTAAGGGCTTCAACCTCTGTTGGATTTTTAAAACAATGCTGAAGACCAACTTTCATGGTTTGGTGTTCACCTCCGATTGAGATGACCAAGTAGGACACCATTGTTGAAAACAAATCAGAAAAAGGCCAGACTGGAATATTCCAAGCTACATGTTGATAAGCCACACAGCTTCTGGGAGAATGTCCTATGGACAGATGAGACAGAAAGGGAACTATGCCAAGGTACATCAGCTTAACGTTCACAGATGGAAAAATGAAACGTATAAAGAAACAAACACTGTCCCTTCTGTGAAACATGGAGGAGGCTGTGTTATGGTCTGGGGCTGCTTTGCTGCATCTGGCATGGGGTGTGTTGAATCTGTACAGGGAACAATGAAACCTCAAGGCTGTCAAGGGATTTTAGAGATGAATGTGCTGGCCAGTGTCAGAAAGCTTGGTCTCATGCAACAGGACAACGACCCAAAACACACACAGCTACAAACACCCAAGAATGTCTACAAGGAAAACATTGGACTATTCTTAAGTGGCCTTCTATGAGCCCTGACCTCAATCCTATTGAGCATCTTTGGAAAAAGCTGAAACATGCCGCCTGGAATAGGCGCCCAACTGGAGCAGTTTGCTCATGAGGAGTGGGCACCTTTTTTCCAGCAAAAGCAACAAATTTGCTGTTTTAGAAGCAGAGGAAGTTTTTTTTCTACCTATATCAAAACTATAGAAAACCAACTCTCTGTTGTGACTTTTGGTTCTTTTTACTTCTTCAGGTCAAAGTTTCCGTGAGGAACAGTGTGAGGCGTTCAATGGCTTGAGCCTTAACACCAACAGGCTGGGCTCCTCTGTAGTTTGGGTTCCCAAATATTCAGGCGTCTCTCCCAAGGATAAATGTAAGCTCATCTGCCGTGCCAATGGGACGGGATACTTCTATGTTCTGGCTCCAAAGGTAGACATCTAAATGTCCCTCAGCAAAAACACACCATGTTATACCATATCCTGTCTGTGGTGCTGATTATGATTCTGTCAACTTTGATGATGCTAGAAAACAAAGTTATGCACCTCATAAAGGCTGAAACTTTGTAAGTTGATGTGGCTGAAATGTTTTGTTAAGTATGTTTTCAACCCAACTTTCGCACAAAAAAAAGAATGAATTTTCATTTGGAGCAATGAAGGCCGTGAAAATAACGTAAGGTGATATTAATGTGATGTATAATGTTGTGTAGGACCAACCGTGTGTAATGTGTGTGTGATCTAAACATGGCAGGTTGTGGATGGGACTCCCTGCTCCCCCGACACCTCAGCGGTGTGTGTTCAGGGAAAATGCATCAAGGCAGGCTGTGATGGCAGACTGGATTCTAACAAGAAGTTTGACAAGTGTGGGGTGTGTGGTGGGAACAACCAGGGCTGTAAGAAGATCTCAGGAATGTTTACAAAGCCTGTGTAAGTACAATCTATCTTACAGTCAGCAAGTTGTGAAACATGTTTCTAACAAATGCAGCTCACTTCTTTCTTCTACCGTTGGTAAATTGTTGAATTTTGATTAGAAGATGAGGAGAGGTTAATTCTGATTCAACCAAAGTGCTTTTTTATCTTTAATTTCATTAAGGCAACAGATATAAGTTCAATACTTATTTAAAACGGAGACAAAATGAAATGCAGTTGTGCAGCAAATTATGTCCCAATGTAATAAATCAAATTTAGAATGGAAAGTTTCAGTTAGTGCAAAGTTGCCATTTGCAAACAGCGTTGATGAACTTTATGATGGTTCATGAAACATCAAAATGATACTTTGTTAAAATTGAGATTTATATTTATTAAATGGTCTTCATTGAGAAAAGTTTTAATGTTTCTTATTTATAACTATCTGCAGGAGTTTTCTAGGTTTCATGACACAGATGATGTAAAAAAATAAATCAAAGCACTTTTAAATAAAAAGCTTGTCCTTTTAGTTATCACTGCTTGTTTAATATTTAGAACATTTAAAATGTCCCTTTTGTTCTTCAGAAATGGATACAACTTTGTTGTGACGCTGCCGATTGGAGCCTCCAACATCGATGTCCGTCAGCGAGGCTACCGAGGAATGGTCAACGATGAGAACTACCTTGCTGTGAAGAACCACCATGGCTCGTACCTCCTGAATGGCAACTACGTGGTGTCCGCTGCTGAGCGGGATCTTCTGGTTAGGGGCAGCTTGCTGCGCTACAGCGGCACCTCCAACTCTGTGGAGATTCTTCAGGCCATCAGACCCTTGCAAGAGCCCCTCACTGTGGAGGTGCTCTCGGTGGGGAAGATGACTCCCCCCAGAGTGCGCTACTCTTTTTATATTTTAAAGGAAGGCAAGGAGGAAAAGACTCTTCGGAAAGAGGAGAAAAATTATAAACTGCAGAACAGTGTCTTGGTTGAAAGCAAAAACACAGAAATCAAGAATGACCTGATGGTTAAGAGACCTGTTAGTCACTGGGTAACAGGAGGATGGGAGTCGTGCACGGTAACTTGTGGTAATGGTCTGCAGAAAAGGTTGGTGCAGTGCCAGAGTACAGAAGGACAACCTGCTGCAGACTGTGATAGTACTCAGAGACCTGTAGCAGTAAGAGCTTGTGGGGATCCGTGCCCCATGTGGGATGTAGGAACCTGGTCTCACTGCTCCAAATCCTGTGGAAGGGGGTTTAAAAGGCGACCAGTGCTGTGCAGGACAGATAATGGTCTTAATCTGCCCAGAGACCACTGCTCTGGAAAGAAGAAGCCTCAAGAACTGGACTTCTGCAACTGGACACCATGCTTAAGCAGATGAGATCCAGGGTACTGGTTGGCACAAAAATGATCTAAAATCAGCATAATTCTGATTACAGTGTTGACTTGAATGCAGCCTCACTGTGTGTGGTTGTAAATAAGTAAGTTTGCTCACTTAAGACAAAAGATATGTGGAAATAGTCTAAGGAGATCTCATGCTGGGATAGCCTAGCTGTTGGCAGATATAATAAAACAGGTTTTCTGCCAGTTTTTGTCCCACTCTGAATCTCCACAACCTTAATTCAACCCCAACCAGTTCTTCCCAATGTCAATCATACCCCCCCCCCCCCCCCCCCATCTTATAATACATTATTGAAACCTGCTCGGAAAGTATGGGATTGCTGATGGCATTGGTCCAGATCCTGGTCAGAGGTTAACCTCTGAATATGGAAACACACGTGATGCAACATGGATTAGCGTGTTAGCAAAGAGCCTTGAAAGTAGAGCAGTCGGCTGGTTTTCAGACCCCTCTCTTTATCAACACAGCAACTAACCCATTTAGCTCCTCTTGTTTGTGCTGTTGGACACGTTTAGACGCTCTGGCATGAGCACTTTGCAGGGATTTGTTCCTCGTTATTTGATTTAAAACATTTAACCATAGATAGAAATCATGTTTGGACCTATGAACACATTTGATGATCTTGTTGTATTTGCTCAAGCATTAGAAGAAAGATATCGTGACTTTGCTGGAACCCTTTTCCAGAACATTTTTTATTTCATGACTGTTTGCATCAGTGCAGAAGTCAGAGTTTGTGTCTGAGACAATCTGTTAAAGCTTCTGTTTTTATCGTGACATGGTGCTGAAGACTCTGACAGGGACGTAAACAGAGGACAACCTGGAAATGTTCTTGACCACTCTGGGTCCAAGATCGTTGATAAACCAGTAGTCAGGCAAGCTCCTCACAGCAGAGGTATGTCTTTAATTTAAAATCAAAATCTATGAAACAGAATGTACTTTTTTTTTCACCATGCTTGAAAATCTGCAAATAGTTCCCGAGCGCAGCCACAGCTGCAGCTCACCGCTGCCCACAGAGATGGGTCACATGCCGAAATGAATCTCACCAGTGTGTAATGTGACTTTAAAGACACAGTATTTGCGTTTGATTTAGAGTTTTATTCCACCTTTTGTATTTTTCCCTCCAGACTGTTTGTTCTGGATGCATCTGGATGCCTTATTACTCTTAAGAGTCAAGAAGTCTGCAAGGCAACCAGTTTAAACAGAAAACATGTTTGTTTACCGTTTGTGTCTTACATTTTTATTTTCCAGCTGGTTTTTAGACTTCCCTTGTCAAAGGTTGAATTTAGCAGCAGCGTTTTGTAGCGCTAGATTTACTCACTTAGGGCATAAAGGTGCAGAGCAAACCCCCGTTCAGTGAGGAGGGACTCCAGGATGAAAACCTCTGTGTCAGATAATACCTCTGCATTAACAAAGTATTAGTTTGTCAAGCTGCAGTCGTCAAAACATTTATGTTTTTATTTGTTAGATATTCCAAACCATGGATGTATTTTCTTTGGGTGGATGGGGGAACATGCACCCCCTTTGTAATATGGCAGTTTGGATTAGCTCATGTTTTCTACTTCTGTTTTAAGGGAAATGAGGTAAAATGTGACCAGATATCTTAAAAATTAGCATAAAATTTGGACCTTATACCCCTCACAACCACCACTCAAGTCATTTGAGTTCACACCCCCCACCACCACCACCACACACACACACACACACACACACACACACACACACACACACACACTCACTCACACTCTTATTAAATCTAAATGACTTTAAAGAGCAAATCAACTTTTTTGGCTGATAAACTATAAATATGAGTGTCTAATCATGCTGTAGACATGTGTAGTCAATAATTGGGCACTTTAGTGCATCTTAGTTAAAATTTACAATGTTTTGCCTACAACTGTCAGTGTTGCACCATCTTCAGGTAAAAACTCTGCACTGCATTTGAATTTAAATCTGTCATCGCTATTGGCTAAGAGGTACCCTATGATGCTAGCTGGTACATTATAATGTCACAAAGTTGTGAGCCTGTGTGTGTGTGTGTGAGTGACTTGCTCTTTAATGTTCCAAACATAACTCAGCTGTTTTATCGTTGTGCCTTTGAGGTGAGAATAACAAAAAAGGAGAGAAAGAGATCATGAATAAAAAATATGACTGATTCTCAGAATAAGGTAAAAATTACAAGAACAAAAAGATTCATGCAGTTTTGAGGCTTACATGACAATTAAAATCGTGTTTTTATCTGTGGCGAGATCTCACATGACTATCATCTAATCTTGTAGTTATGTACCTACTGAACAGCCTCTGTTCAGAGAAATAAAGTTCAGGACTGAAGAGCTAACAGCTAGGACAAGACCAAAGTGTGTAACCATCATCCTACAAAGTCTCCAGGTTTCCACAAACGTTATTGTCTAAACCTTTACAACGCAATCAGTTTCACTTCACATGATTATTTCAGTGAAGATTTTCAAACATTTCTGTCTGACTTGATCGACTGAAATGTTACTGAAATGTTAAACTTTGATGCTACTGCTGATATTTATGTTTGATAAGAGGAAACATATCAGATAATGCCAAACCAAAGATATGAGCAGTTTGAAGATGGGAGCAACATGTTTTTATCTCGATGAAGGTTAGCCTAACTGCTTGCTCAAGGCTCATGGCTCATGAATGACATGTAGTCTTTCTCCAAACAGAGGCTGTTCAGGAAGCTTCCTACAACAAAGAGTCATCGTTTAGAAACGTATAAACGGTATGGAAGGAATAATCTTTGACTCCCAGATGTGGCTGTTTTTTTATTTACTAAAGAATTAATGAAAATGTGAAATCCAACACCGATTTAGACGAGGTTGGTTTGTGCAGGTTGGATTTTATCTTTTTAGTGTTTTAACTTGCATCACCTCAGTGTCGCTGTATAAAATGATCAAACTCAACCCTCAGTAGCACGATCACCTTAACCTGAGTTCAGTTATGAAAAATGAAACAGAATAAAAAATGTTTCCTTCATATTAAACTTGATTACTTAAAATTAAATTGAAAAAACATGAATTCTTCTGAAAAAGATTTGTACCTTCATGTTGTGTCCGCTCTGTGAAAAGCAAACAGACCTTAACATGTAGGTTTTGTCTCCCAGGGTTCATCTTTTATCTAACAGCCAGTTTACACTGTTGTAACTGAACATTTTTCTTTTAATCATAATTCCTTAAAACGTTGCATATTCCTGCTAAATGTTCACAGAACCATTTGGTTTTTTGGAAGAAACTTTCGCAACAGCAATCTTAATTTTTTGTTATCTTTATATTTTAGAACGCAGAAGAAACTGGTCCAAAGTTTGTGAATAATGTCATCGACCTGCTGGATACATACTAGCTCATAACCTAAGCCTGAGTGGGGGTTTTGTGTTTCCTTCTGGCTTTTCTAATAATACTAACATGTTTATCAGGTAATCTATTTGAACTCCCTGTGCTAGACTAGTAACCTATCACAGCTTCCTGTTCCTGCTGCTCCACAGTCATAACTTTCTCAATCATCATCATCTTAAATTTCACCTGCTGGTTGGTTTTTCCAGAGGTTTTGTTTGTATAAGCTCTAATGTAAGCTCTGATGGAAACTGTGATGGAAAAGCGGAGCTGTTATCTGAGCACATCTGTTGATAAATGGGCTACGCTGAGCTTTTTCTGTTGCAGATCACTTTCTTCTGGGTTTTTGGCCTGGCTTGTACGTTTCTTCTTGCCCTGATCTAACACATACTCATGATGCTCAGCATTAGCAATAGCAGGATTTAGTACATTGTGCATTTTGTAGAAAAGCATTTTGAGGTCAAATATGTATGATGACCTGCATCAAATGTGTAAACATTTGTATAGTTTGACTGCTTTTTTCTCCGTGGTGTTGAAGCAGAATGTCCAAAATCAGGTCGGTAAATTCTCTGCCTCGTCCTACAGCTCATTTGGGTCCATGTGATTCCACAGAAAAACACCGGGTGTGTTTCAAGTTTGTGTTGTTTATAGACGTTCTGTTTCAGATGGACCAGTTATGCCATTTAGAAGAGTGGTGAATTTATTTCTTTACACAGTGTACAGATAATACTGCGTGTATCAGTTGTCTTTGTTCTGTATACCATGTATACATTTAAATAGCTGTATAAAATAAAGTATAACTGTATAAAATAAAGTATAACTATAACTTATGCCAGTGATGTGCCTAATCATTAGTTCTATAATAAGCTCAAAGAACTGTTTTCTCTATATGAATAAAAAGATCTGACATCACAGACAGAAAATCACTAAGTGCTTCACATGGATTAATCAAACAAATCATAAAGTCATAAAATCAATTATATTAAAACAAAAAAGAAAATATTGTGAGTTTTCTCTGCAGAGTGGCTGGGCTTTCCCTTAGAGATAGGATGAGAAGCTCAGTCATCCGGAAGGGGCTCAGAGTAGATTTGCTGCTCCTCCACATCGAGAGGAGTTGAGGTGGCTCGGGCATCTGGTCCGGATGCCTCCTGGTGAGGTTTTCCGGGCACGTCCAACCGGGAGGAGGCCTAAAGGTAGACCCAGGACATGGTGGAGGGACTATGTCTCACACCTGGCTAGGGAACGCCTTGGGATTCCCCCGGAGGAGCTGGCCCAAGTGGCTGGGGAGAGGGAAGTCTGGGCCTCTTGACTTAGACTAAAAAAAGTCATCCAGTAATAAAATATTATAAAACAAATGAACAATTACAAATTTGAGTTAGAAAACAGCAACTATCCAGCGTAATGACGAGGCTGGAGAGACCCGGGAAGACAACAGAGACACAGTAAGGCGAATAAAAGTTTGTTATGGAACACACACAGGAATGTTAGCAGTCTGAAGCAAGGGCTGTAGCAGAGGCTTGGTCAGGAGGAGAGCAGGGGTCAGAGCCAGGGAGATCAGAGTAGTTCCAAAAAGGGGCAGGCAATAGGCAGAATCCAGGATCCAGGTCCGAGGTCAGAAATCCAGGTAATCAGATGCTTGAGATGATCCGACAAAGGGGTAATCCAAAGGTCCAGAACAGGGTTGAGATGCAAGAGCAGAGGGCCAAGAGTGCTGGAGAATTTACTGGCAAATGCTTTCAATAATTTGGTGCTGGTTTGGTGTTGGTCCTGGTGTTTTATAGGGAGCGTTGCAGGTGGAGCTGATGAGGAGTTGATGTGAGGCAGGTGGTGTGGATGAGGTTGATGGTGAGCTGGTTGTGGTTGCTGAGGAAACGGATCTTGGCTGGAGCAGGGGCGTGACATCCAGTGCAGAAACCA